CTTACAGTCACACTTTGGTAGGTTTACAATTGTGAAAACACTTCATTTTCCAATGATAGGTGGAACTTTTAAGCCTAGGAAAGATTAAGCTAATTGAAAAATATTTTGCCAGGCACATTAAGCTATAAATTAGCTTTAAATAAAGAGAAGAAAAAGTCTAAAATGTTCAATAGGTATTTGTACTTGTGTTTGCATTGTAAAATACTGCATTTCAAATGTTTGAATATCATATTATGTTAGAAATAAATGCCTGATGTCCCCAAAATCATTCATCTAGCTAGTACATATGTGTTAAAAGCTAGAATAAATGTTTTTTTTTTTTTCATATCTATATGAGATTTAGACAGTTTTACATTGTGCTCATTCATAGGGTGAGGTAAAACATAAAGCACTGAGAAATATCTTCTGTTCTGTTTTTGTACAAATTTGCAATTATCTGACAATCCCATGAGAACTAAAACTAAAGCAGTTTTGTACTTCATAATTTTGGTTAAGTTTTTTGTTAAGTTAAATCATAGTCTTTGGGAATTTAAACTGTATGATATGTGTGCTGCAGGTTTCTTGAAGGATAACTATGATAGATATAATGATAGATATAAGAAGATTCCTTTTAGCTATTGGTCACAGGACTGGGTAAAGGGTCCAAGTATATCTTTGCAGAGAGAAGGTCAGTTATGGTAAATCCAGCCAGCCTTAGCATCTTGGACCAACAAGCTTTAGACCCCATGTTCCTACCTACATCTGACAGAGGTATTAGAAAAATAACCCCCTCTCTTCAGCTATTAAAAAACACATATAATAATATAAACATGTGGATTTTGCTAAAAACCACTGGGACTTTGGCCACAATCATACACCTTTGGTGGAAGACCTGTGATATTGTGGGTGTATAGGAAGTATAAATGGACATAGCATTGCCTCTACTCTGCAATAAGTGGGTTTTCAAAAGAATAATGATCCAAAACATGATCTAAAATAAAAGAAATCAGAAAAGGTTTTCCAGACACATAATTTAGCATCCTACACAGTCATTTTAGAGCTAAATCGTGTATGAAAAGTGCTGCGTATATACAAAAAAGTGTATAGCTGTATCACAAGTGATTTCAGAATCAGTTCTGTGCATAGGACTTTTTTTTTTAAACATTATTTTTTAATTGATGTTTTTTGTTTTTTTTTTTGTTTCCCATGAGAGATTTTAAACCAGTACTTTTTATATTATTAGGGATGGAATTTTGTATGAAGGATCCTGTGAACAGCTGAAGACCACTCCTTCAATTTTAAAATTGTAATACACTATAAACCTCCTTTTGTTAGCAGCTAGCTCCATCTATTGACCAAAAATGTAATAATAATTAGGTGAACGATCTAACCTCTGCAGTTAAGTACAAGAACATATCAATACAAGAAATAGAGATTGATTCAAACTCAAGTATTAAAGTCATCTGTTTTTTTTGTTTTTTGTTTTTTTTTTTAGGAATACTCCTGACATAGTGAATTAATGTAGAACCCCTTTCATTTTCTGTAATTAGATGCAGGTTTTTTTTCTAAAACCTTAGGTGGAGAGTATACTAAATAAATTGCCATGTGTTTCAAAACATGGTTTCTAATTAATGGAAACCATGTTTCTATTAATTTATATAAGGGGATGTAGCCAAATCTCCAATAGATTCAATGCTGGTTTTAAGATTTAGAAAAGCTATCTTCATGTTATAACACAAATCAAATTTATTTCACTTTGAAGTTGCTGTTATTCTTAGACCACCAAGTTTACGACCTTTCCCTGATGCAATATGCAGAGTTGTTGGGAAAATTCCCTTCCATCAACAGAGTTTCCTCCCCATACACTTATGCAGTTTGTGCATGTGGAATTTGAAGCATAACCATTTGGGTGTTAGCTCTTTTTTTGTCAGTATCAATGATGCTTACAGTGAGCTGGAGGATGTGTCACTTCAGTTATCCAGCCAAGTGAGGTCTCATAACATATAAAAAAGAATTGAATACTGTAGAACTCTTGTTATTTGGTGCTGCAATTAATGTTCTCTGTGAAATTACTTTGTCCAGGATGGATTGGGTCTGCTACTGTATATGGGTTCGTTGCCTGTTTCCCAACATTAAGCCTTTATAAATATTTCATGAAGAGAAGGTGACATTAGCAGTAAAACATTTTGTAGACCAGACTATTTCCTGCTGTCTGGTCGTACCCTGCTGTGGCAAGAACAGGACAGAGTAAGTATTAGCGGTGAAGCAGCTCCTGAGAAGGTCTTCTAAAGGACCAACAGGAAACACAACCGTTGTTAATACATTCTTTTAGACTGTCTCCATTCAACTATTTTACAATTTAGAGCAAACTTTGAAAATATTGAAAATATCAAATATTAGATGTATTCCATCTATTGGAGACAAATAGCACTTTGAGATTTTTTTTTAAATGTAAAGTGCAATACAAATAAAATGTATTATTATTATTATTATTAATTAACCTGGTGATGCAAAGCATGATGTTGCTACATGTTTAGGTTACATGTGGCTGTAATAAACCACAGATTAGTGACGGTCCGTGGATTTAAGGACTGAGTTGCAATCGGGCAAGTTATATTAAATATATCAAGTAGTCTAGTATTAGCGATGGTACTTAACAGAACTTGTATCCAAGACCCTGACAGTGGTAACAGCTGATCAGTCCTTCAAGATAAATGTTCACAACAAAAAACGTATAAGTTTTGGTGTCAGTCTTTGGAGTGTACTCTTTTTAAAAGAAGTCAAGAGAATCATCACAAGAAAGCATAAATAACATTATGGTGATATTTAGTAAGTTAAATCGAATTTTTGCTGTTTTCATCTTTTCTAATGTAATACTTCCGAATGCCACACAGCTTGCCAGCTAGGGGTTAGACCCAGCTTTTATAGGCAAGGGGAAGAGAGCCCAATGCTGAATGTTGGCAGGTCAAGCCTTGTTTGGAAAATATGTGCTAACCTGGTGTTTTCAGTCGGGAAGAGGCCCAGATCCTTAGTACAGGTAGGGGGTCAGAGTATTGGGGGGGTTGGCTGATGCTGATAAAAGTTTGGGAGGAGTTGATTCGGTCACAGATGGAAAGTTACTGTTGGGGGTAGCATTTTTCTTTGTGTTTAGGTGTGAGGTGTAGTTGTCCAGGCAGGAGGTGTGAATGGCCATTTATCAAGCTACAAAAATCTAATGGTGGGGGATGTGCAATCCAGTATGTTCTACAGCAGGGGTCCCCCACTACAGCCATGAGAGCCACTGCCATGCAGTTTAAAGATGCATCTATCAGATGTAGGGTTAGACATTTTTTTTATTGTTGTGTGTGCAAAATGTCTTGGTCTGAATGCTTGTGCCTCGCAAAAACGAATGTATAATCAGCTCAGTGGCTGCAGTTTCCTTGAATTTTTACAATCTTTACATATAAAGCAGCCTCATTAACTTGCTTTCTTAAAGTCACGAACCAAGACTTATTTTTTTTAGTTTCTGCATGCTGGCAACAGATGAAGAAGACATTGTTCAGGAAGTCCTGAAGCTGCACAAAAAATGGCTAATAGGGATTCTTTAAGATTCTATAGGAGTGGTCAAGAGTGTTAGTGTCCATTGTGCAGGACTTATCAAACTATCTGTATTTTAGAAGTTTATAANGCCACACAGCTTGCCAGCTAGGGGTTAGACCCAGCTTTTATAGGCAAGGGGAAGAGAGCCCAATGCTGAATGTTGGCAGGTCAAGCCTTGTTTGGAAAATATGTGCTAACCTGGTGTTTTCAGTCGGGAAGAGGCCCAGATCCTTAGTACAGGTAGGGGGTCAGAGTATTGGGGGGGTTGGCTGATGCTGATAAAAGTTTGGGAGGAGTTGATTCGGTCACAGATGGAAAGTTACTGTTGGGGGTAGCATTTTTCTTTGTGTTTAGGTGTGAGGTGTAGTTGTCCAGGCAGGAGGTGTGAATGGCCATTTATCAAGCTACAAAAATCTAATGGTGGGGGATGTGCAATCCAGTATGTTCTACAGCAGGGGTCCCCCACTACAGCCATGAGAGCCACTGCCATGCAGTTTAAAGATGCATCTATCAGATGTAGGGTTAGACATTTTTTTTATTGTTGTGTGTGCAAAATGTCTTGGTCTGAATGCTTGTGCCTCGCAAAAACGAATGTATAATCAGCTCAGTGGCTGCAGTTTCCTTGAATTTTTACAATCTTTACATATAAAGCAGCCTCATTAACTTGCTTTCTTAAAGTCACGAACCAAGACTTATTTTTTTTAGTTTCTGCATGCTGGCAACAGATGAAGAAGACATTGTTCAGGAAGTCCTGAAGCTGCACAAAAAATGGCTAATAGGGATTCTTTAAGATTCTATAGGAGTGGTCAAGAGTGTTAGTGTCCATTGTGCAGGACTTATCAAACTATCTGTATTTTAGAAGTTTATAAGAGAGATTTATTCTGCTGAAAGAATAGTTATAAATAAAGTTTGTGTGGTTGTTTTTCCTCCACATCTGCTAATATGGCAAATAGCTTATTTTAGTCCAAACAAGGAAAGATTCCTTGCCAATTAACAAAGCTTATACCATATACAGTACATTGCAGATAAGTGACATCGTAACCCAAGTTTGCGCATCTTGAGGATACCTGCATGTTTCCCTTGTGTACATCTGTTGTAAATCCTAAAAAGAGCCATTGTGCTTCCAACTAGAATCTCTGTTCTGCTGTCTAGCAAGAACTGGCAAGAAAAAGCTGCTTGAAGTTTAGGAGTTCATTCAGAGTAAATTAAACTGAACAATAGCAGGAAGCACAAAATAAGGACACAAAGTTCTAGCAAGAAAAGTATTGAGGTTGCCGTCTGGGGTGTGTTACAGTAAGAAAAAAAAACCTCACAAATCAGAGCTGTGATTTTTTTTAGAGTTATATCTAGTGCAGTAGTTTGTGACAGAAGACACAAACTTCCATGCCTTTACTTGAATTTTCAATTGAGGAATAATTCACATGGGAAATATGTAATGTTCCAAAAAACTGACCTTCCAGCTTGGTTGTTTTCCAATGGCCTCATCAAGGCAGCACAGATGCACAGGTTGGAAACAAATCCTCCCAGGATAAGCAGAGCTCCTCTCCAAGAGTAATGCTCGATAAGAAGCTGAACTGCAGGAGCCAGAAGAAAGGTACCAATGCCACTCCCTGAAAATAAGTTGAAATTGGATTTGATGGGATGGTTGGATTATTTAAATGTATACCAGAGAGATATAAAAAGGGGAAAAAAACTAATTCAATAGCTTTTGAACAAATAGGAGCTTATACAAATAAAACAAACTGAAAAACATATCAAGAAGGCAAGTAAAATTAGTACCAGAAAGAGCGATGCCATAAGCTAGAGCCTTCCTCTCATTAAAGTACCTTCCAACCATGGCTATAGCTGGTGTGTAGCTAAGAGCAAAGCCAAGACCTGTGGAATTTAAAAAATAAGAATAATCAGCTTTAAGGGTCATTGCAAAAGTACATTACAAAAACTGGAAAAAATGTCTCCTGCATTAAACAATTCTTTGGTAGCTGTTAGCAGTTTACATAATTCTCAAAGTAATCTGATTATAAAGGTGTTCCTCAGGGATCCAGAGTGGCTGAAACAGTGTGGTTTGAACCAGGTACTTGTTGCATTCCAAAAAAGGCAAACCCTTGCTCCAGCCATTAATCTACTACTCCTCTAAAAGTGTTTGGAGTATCACAAGCATAATTACTTAACTATTATTATAGGCTTAGGGCCTCCCAACCATTATGCACTTCCTATAAACCATAAATGCGTACATTTAAACGCAGTCAATTCGACTTTTGTTTATCTAGAATAAGAATAATATGTCACTGAAAACTTCATCATGAATATATTTTAGGAGTCAAGCAATATTTCATTTCCAGTTGTTTTAGTCTGTAAGAAGGCCTTGTTCTCTTCCTCCATTGTCAATGCAGCCACCTGTAGCTGTGGCTGTAAGGTCTGCGGTGCATGACGTGGCGGCAATCCCCAAACCCGGTGGTGAACACAGGCAGTGAGGGATGTTTTCACTCTGAAGATGCAGTCTTATCAAGCCTTGCTGTCTTTTTTAACTCCTAAAGCAGCAAGATGGTATTGTGAGGCCTGAAGTGCCACTGCCCTGTTGGTCGCAGAGGCACAAGTTTGGAGAGGACATAGAGAAAGACTATTTGTAGGCCTCAAAGTGATTCTGGCAAACCCTGTGGAGCTTCTGTAAGGGAAAACAGACCTGTTCATGAATGAGGGGAGAATGGAGTGGGAGATTGATGGACAAACCAGTGCTACTGCTGCAATAATGAGGACACTGCACCAGTCTGTTGAGGTGAACAGAGAGCTTAGAGATAATGCATAGCTCTCGATTTACCAGTCGGTCTAGGTTCCCACCCTGAAATGTGGTCATTAAATCGGGATCATGACAATAGAACAAGATCAGGGATACAAATGGACGGAATGAGTTTTCTGCACAGGGTGGCTGGGCTCTCCCTTAGAGAAAGGGTGAAGAGCTTGGTCATTCGGAAGAGGCTCAGAGTACAACCTCTTCTTCTCCTCAAAATATACTCAAAACACATAATTGTATAATTTTCAGGTTAGGAAAATGGCTTTTTGGGTGCTATTTTCTATGCATACACTCCATGCATAAATATGTGCAGTTTGGTCATCAGAATGTGAGCTTCATATTTATGAAAGCACACAAAAATAATTTTATGGCTACTGCTTGCTGATATTACACCTACTTTGGACATTTTCAATATAAGTTTTTATTCTAGAAACTTTGCGAAGAATATGCCTTTAATGAGAACTAATAGGTTTTAATGAATGTGCTTCAGTGTGATAAATAATTGTTCATGCATACCTGTTAGTACTCCCAGAGAAGCATATAAAAATTCTAGACTGGAGGCAAAGGAGCTGAGGATCAGGCCAGCAGTTGACAGAAGGCCTCCCAGAAAAACTGTTGCTCTGCAGGACAACCGATTTCCAAGAAAACCACCAAGAGGAGCTGGAAAAATAAAGTATGAGTGGGTTACTGGGATTTTCAATTGCTTTTGATATTCTTCACATATAAGCCTAAAGTGATTTGCAAAAAAACAAAGTATGGATCCTTTTAGAGAGACATCTGTTTGATTCTAACCTCAAACCTCTATATATTTTAAGATGATTTATTACGATACACTAAAACAATGAAACAAAATGTGACAAAATTACCCTGGTGTGAACATTTTTTCATGGCACTACACGTACAAAGTTTCCATGTGCCTAAATATTCTGGAAGAGATACATGTCTTACCACACAGCATGGTGGTGCAGTCAATAATACTGTGAATCCAAGCAGTGGTGGAATAATCCTTTTCAAAGTACATCTGGAACTCCACAAAGAACATGGAAATACATCTGTTTGAACAGAACACAATAGAAGAGTTTACATTCCAACCAATTCTACCATTATTTATGTGGTCTATGTTTGGTTTTTTACTGTTGAAAAAGGCAAATTTCAACAGCTATATTCCTTCCTAACAATAAGTGCTTTTATGTCTTCCAGTCAGACTTCCATGATTGATTGATGGATTGACTTTATTGATCTCACACTGGAGAAAGTCACCTCTGCCTTTGACCCATACCCTTTGGGAGCAGTGAGCTGCCATTGTGCGTTGGCTGGGGAGCAGTCTGGGGTTAAGGGTCTTACTCAGTGACCCAGAGTGGCAGTTTGTGGGAGTGGGGCTTGAAATCAGAACCTCTGGATTTCAAGCGGAATGCCCTAACCTCTAGGCCACCACTCCCACCACACCTCAGATACTGCCTTGTTAAGGTGTTCAATGACATCAGTTTAAATGCAATCTGTGCAATAACCACACTGCTGGTATTATTGGCCATTAGTGCAGCATTAGACACTGTTGATCAAAGATGAGGTGGGTGACCATGAACTCATTCAAATGCTGGGTAAGTCCATGGAAGAAAGCAATGCATAGATATGCCAAAATTGTCTTCAGCAGAGTGCTACAGTTATGACACCTAGATCCACAAATCAGGCTCAAAAATCTGGTTCTAGTGATGGACTCAGACCTGAAGAGAAGCTGATCATCTCTGAGTGGATCAAGCAAAATGAGCAGAAAAATATGGATATATTCAGGGCAGCAAGTTTAGCAGAGTTGGCAGAACTGTCAGCAGCAGCAGCTGAGATGTGAGCAGATCAGACTGTCATGTGAGCGGAGGAGGAGGAGGTAAAGTTCCAGGTTTTCACTGAAGTGTTGATATTTAGACATCCTTTTCCTGCTTCATCCATCTCCCCTGCATCCGTCTATGAATGGTTGCTATGTGACTCTCTCAGTTAACCAATCATGCTGAAGACAAATGTTAGAACCACGCACCTCATTAACAGAGGCAAATATTGTAAATAATTATACAAATAAAGAAACAAATGTGGTAAAATAAATAAATGATGGTGCAAATAAATAAATTAATTAAAAAAATGTTTAAATAGAAATACAAGAAAAAAAACAAATTAGCTTTTTTTCATGACCAAAATAAAAAAAATTCATTTGTATGTATTTTTATATTTATTTATCATCATTCATATTTTCATCTTTTTAGTTGTCTAATTTTTTTGTCCCTCATAGGTTTCCCCTGCAATGTACTTTTCTTTATGGTTTATTCTATTGTACAGCTTTTCGAATTGTCTTACCTCTGAAATGCAAAATAAATATCAAAGCTGATAAACTTGCTTTGCCTCAGTATCATCGGCCAAAATCTTTTATATTGGTTGTGAAAATAATTTACGCTTTAGAGAACTCTTTGGTCCGACTCTTATCCTGTAATCTCTGAGTTCTGCACCCACTGAACTCGTTCACATTGGTATCTGTCTCAGTTATATAATGGTGTCATTACAAAGGGCATACAAAGCATTTGTTGAATGGCTCTCCGGCAGTAAGGTGATCTCCTCATTAATTATTATGCCAGTTATTAATCACTGAAAATACAGAGGGCATTCTTTTGTTTACTAACTGTCCTTTATTTTATTACAATGTATTTAGAGGGATATGAGGTTCATGAATTTACAAAATCTTAATCTTAATCTCAAATGATAGCTCTCTGGGATTTCTGACTGTCTATAAAACTTTTTCTATGGACTTTGGCAGGGTTGCAGTATATTCTGTCCAGTCCTTGCACCTAACTGTGATAATATAGTGCAGAATGTGCTGAAAAATAAGGAGAGCGGATAACAACAGGTGTGTTGTGTTTAAGAGGGAAATCTGCTGCCGAAGTTTGACAAAAACCTTCAGAAGTAGGGGATTACATAAGTAAAGGTGAGGCACAGAATCTGATCATCTGTTACTGTTTTACATATTAGCCCAATGAAAATGCAATTCATGATTTTTAGGACATTAAACATTTTGTGTTGGTTGTTGGTATTAAAGTGAATTAATATCCATTTCAATATACATTTAAAAGTGCTGTGGGTAAAAAAATCTAAACATTTTGAATATGTGTAATATTTATTTCTGAGATTATTATGTTCAATAAAGTGCCTGACAGTCTTTGTTTCATTTTTGGTCTGATTTCCTTTTTTTTTCACAGTCTGGCAATGTGGCAATAAAAATAATTGTCTTGATGCCAAAGAGAGCTCAACAGATTTTGCTTTCACAAGTGGACCAGTAGGGCTATTACCATAGTGTTTTGCTTGTTTTATACATATAAATTGTTTTATTATAATTATGGAGGGAGTCTTACAGATTATATGGACACTCCAATGTAAGAAGAACAGGAAAGGAAAAACAGAAAAAAAGGAGAAAAGATGAAAGAAAGAAGAGATAAAAGGTAGATAATGATAAAACATCTTCAGTCTGTTTCATCACCTGATTTTTTATTTCTGGTCTGATTTCCATTAAACAAGTGTTTCTGTATAAGGCAATATTTTTAGTATGCTTTGTGGTGTTATCAGTGCAATAATGTTTCCGTATGAGCTGGTGTGATGAGAAAATATATTAAGATTTTAAAAATCCACAGGATTGGGTGGTAAATCAAACAAGTAAAAAATCAAAAAGGTTAACCCACTCAGACAGCAAAGTGTCATTAAACGCCTCTGGATTTTCTTCTTCTTTGAAGTCTTTTTATTATCAGGCTTTTTATGGTAACTCTTCCTAATCATTCCTTACCTATTTTTTTGATAGTGATTGTATTTTCTTTTCTTTATTACAAATAGGGCTTTCATATCAAAATCTTGCCCTTATCATGAACTCATTTAAACCTGAATTCCCAGCATGATAGGCCTATTATTATATATTTTAGTAAATATCTACATACAGTGTTTTAATTTGCACATAAAACATGCAAATAATGAGGTGAAGTTAAAATGTGCAGAGGCATCTTAAAATATATATATACTGGACTTTTTACTATTTGTTAACTGGATGTTAAGAGATCCAAGTTATTTTGCAAACTGTAAGGATGCAGGATGCAGTATTTATTACAAACATGCCTTACCTGGTCACTGCCCGAATGCAGATGGTGGCAAGGAAACAGCCAATGACGACCATCCAGCCCCAGCCGCCCTCTGGTGGGGTTTTGACCCCAGCGGCCTTCTTCCCTTCTTCAAGCCTCTCCCCCCTGATAACTGCCATCACTCCAGAGATTCACAGCTGATGTCCTTCTGTCTGTTTGGGTGAAGCACCTCTTTTCTGGCTGGATTTGTGGTGTAAGAATCGAAGCTGTTTGCTCTTCATGTCCTTCCTCCCTTTTTTAGTGCTTCTCCAACCATTTTGAGTTCTTGGTGCACTAAAATAAAAGAAAAAGTTTGGAGACAAACCACAGGAAAACATATTTTATCTAACATAGTCACCAATACAAAATAGAACGATATAAATAAGGCTTATCCTTTTACAATTTGTGTCTTTAGACCCCTAGTGAAACTGAAAATTTTGTGCCCACTCTGCTTTGCAAAATAACTCAAACTTAACCTGATTGCATGAAGACTCTATAGGCATGTTGCCAGGCATAAGGAGTGGGAACCAGGCACAAACAGGAGCCTCATATTATAAGTAATATTAGTTTAGACTAAGAAGCTGTAAAATCAAACCGAAGGCATTGGGAATAACAGGAGAACATTGGCAATGACAACAAACAGGGTGAACATACCCCAGTAACAGCAGGACAGGAAAACAAGGGAATGATCTGACAAGGACGCAAAGAAACTAACTGGATTATAACTGATGTGGTTAGAGACCTAAGAACAAAGGGAGGTTTTAAAAAGGCGTCCAAAAATGTACAAAATCAAAAGCTAGAAACTAACATCTAAATAAAAACCAATACAGGAAGAAGCAAAAGTTGGGACCAAGAGTTAAACACAGAGAATCATGTGTGGAAGACTGGAGATGACATAAAAGATGACAATGGAGATGACAACATAATCAAAATACAAAACAAGTAATTCAAAAACATGATATTGCGTCATTTTCCTATTTGTTTTTTGTGCTTTGTTACTTGATCTTAACAAAACTATAGGTTTGCAAATACCTCTGAGGCCTTTATACTGACAAGAAATTATGCAAACATAAATTACCCATTAAATGATTTCTGTAGAAATGGTTCTACATAATGATGTCTAGAGCTATCATATTAGAGAACTTGATGTATATGCATATTTACAGTTCTGTGCTTTTTTGTTCTATCAGATAAAGTCCCAGTTACATGGATGTTGTAATGTGGGAAAATGTGAAAAAAAAAACTCAGCACTTAAATGGGTGTGACTATCACAAACACATAACAAGCATCGGAGAATGAGTTGAGGGAGGGGTACAACCACCCACGCCTCCTTCAGACACACACACTCATTTCCATTCTAAATAGCTTAAACTTCTGCCTCAAGGCATCACTATTGTTTTTCATTCCCTTAAATTCTTGAAACAAGTAGAAAAAAATGCTAAGCCTGCCCCTTTAAGAGAACAAAACTTATCTTATTCACTCCTAACTCAGAATTATCCAAAGAATCTTTTTTTTCTAAAGTAAAACTAAATAAGGTATAAAGTTGGAATAATCCATCTCTATCACCAGTCTTTACCTTCTACAACTTTTTGTTTTCCCTCTGTGACTTCAGCCCAACAAAGAAGAATTGATTCAATATTTTTATCAAATCTAGATACTTCATTTTCGTTTTCAAAAGGTAATGAATAAATAAAACCAACATTTAGTGTTATACCATAAGGTATTTTCTAAAGCCCTGGGTTTATTTCAAACCAAGAGGTGAAAAGTTAAACAAATGACTAAAATATGTTAGATGACATACTAACTAAAATATATTTAATATGTTAAAATAAACAAGAAAGGAAAACAGAATCAATTATTCCTGTCATGTTGAAATGTTCATTTCTGTCCAAAGGTTTCTGTGTACTTTTTTCTGCATCGTCATTTATTTCCAGAAAGCTTATCTCTGTGAAGAGATGGGCCTTGAGGTTATTGTGTGTTGACTGACTGCATGTGTGCATGAATGTGACAGCTTTCTCTGTCCATGAGGTAAACTGGCACCGTGCCATACGTTTATCACCTTTTGCTGTATTTTATCTCAAAATGCCACCAGTTACTGTAAACTCAGTGTAAAAGTACAGTATTTGTGTTTTTTTTTTTTGTTTTTTTTGTTACATGTTGCCGTTTACAGATAGCCTATAATTGCATTTTTAAAAACAAACAGAAAATACCTTCTGCTTTTTATTGCAAGAGACCTTCAAACGTGGAATATTAAAACATTTATTTAGGAAAATATGCCCTTTTTTGTACTTTTAACAAACTGTAAAGAACAAATCAACACAAAAAGAGTAAAGAGAGTCTGTGAAAATAAACAGAAGGGCCAGTGCATCACAAAAAGGAGTACAAAAACTAAGAGAAAGCAAGTGAATTGTACTTACATCAGACAACAGCCACTTTCTTCTGCTTTAAATTACAGCCTCATTGCTTCATTTGCTTTTCAGATCAGTCAAACAATGGAGGTGTTCCTGCTTCTGCATGTTCTCCAAACACCCAGAAGGTGTTTAGCAAGACAAACAGGCCTGAAAACCTAAAGATATGAGGGGAGGACAGAGGGGTAGGAGGAGGAGGAGGAGCAAGAGGAGGGTTTCCTGATGCTGGTGTTCCTTGTTTTTGAACACTTTGTTCATTTTTTTATATAGAAAAGTCTTACAATTGATGAAACAGTTAGCCAAAACTAAAAATAAAACAGATATCCAGCCATTGATGTTAGTGTCGTAACTTTTTTCAAAAAGTAACAGTTTCAGAAAAGCTATTTATAATATTTGGAAAGCAGTCTTAAAATAATTGCAGGAGGGGAAAAAAAAGGAGGCATGTTTAACAATTGGTTAAATCGTCTGTTTCTGAAGTGTGACGATTTGGAGCAACCCTTTCCCTCCTCCACCAGGCAATCAAAACAATCCATTTCTAAACTATAGGCCACAGCAGGTCATTAAAAACCAGATAGATAGATTTAGCTCAAATACCAACAATTCAAAGGTATAAATAGCACAATATTTCAGATTTTTAAAATAAAGAGAAAGATTTGCCTTTTTGGGATCAGTCCTCTATGACATAACTGTGTCTATTGTTTAGATTCACTCATTCTTAACATTAACGTCAAATGTGGATTTTAATACATTTTATAAACAGTTCAATGAACTGTGATGGTGTCCTGCCGCAATTTGGAAGCTAACTCTCAGTACATTTATCCAATTAAACCAGTTTTGATTATTTTGTCTCAGGACCATGATCCTCCATTTGACCCCAACTGTTGCAGTCAAATGAAATAAACAAATCAAGAGTCATTAAAGTTTGCTCTTTTGAAAAGATGATTCAACAGCACCTCCACATAGATAAGCGAAATGGCAAGGCTGAGGACCTTATGTCAAGCATGGTGTTAGTACTATGATGCTGTGGGACAGTTGTGCAGCTGTGGGGTAAACCCTTGAAAAGCCTCACATTAGATTTCTGCTCGCCCAGATTCGGAATTGTATAATTAAATCAACTAGTCCTGTTTTGCCTACTATGTTTGCAGAGCAACAAGTTTTAGATCTAGAGTCTTTAGACTTTGCAGCATTGGATGCAGGTCATGCAGATTCCACAACACTTTCTTCCCACTGCCATGAGACTGCTGAATGTTTTGTAAAATTGGTTATTGTATTGTATTTTATCATATTTTATCATATTAAAAAACTGCTAGAATTATAAATGTACAGTCATGTTTATATTACTGTTTATATATATATATATATATATATATATATATATTACCATTTTTCAAGGCTGCACTTTTAAAAAAGATGAAATTGTCCAAAGAGCTGTTCCAAACTGAATTTTTTTTGTTTTACATTTGTGTAAACAAAATGACAAATAAATCTGTCTAAGTCTAAGGTCTATCTTTTACGATGTGATGATCAACTACGTCAAGTGTAGCACTAAGAGAAAGTTAAAGATTGATTTCTATTGAGACACAATTTATTACTGAATTAGGTTCCTTCATTTAAATTAGCTAATAACTAATTTCATTTTGTATTATGTTTTGCTTTTTTGAAGTAAGAACTTGTAATATTGTAAATATGGCTGAAAAGATGAATCATTTATTAAAATAACAGTTGACGAATTTGGTAATGAAACTGAAGAGTTAAGTTATACACAGAGTCTAAAACCTCTCATTTACAGAAAGAATATCCTACTTGAAGGAGTTAATAAGATAAAACTATGTATATATTCATTCAAATAGCTAATAGAGTATTTTATAAATCAAATAACATTTAGATTGATGACTAAAATAATAAATAATGCAGATTTTGTCTTTATAAGATACATTACTAACAAAAGTTATTTGCTTTCATACGAGTTTAAGAGGCATACAATTCTTAATCCATAGCATTCAACTCATGTCTGTCACCTCTTTGCCGTGATTACTTCCTCCACTCTTCTGGGAAGGCTGCCCATAACAGGTTTAATTGAATTTTTAACAATTTTTCCAAAAGCACATTTGTGAGGTCATCTTCTTGGATCTTGAAGCCCTTGTTCTCAATCTTCACACTAATAAGTCCCAGGTATTCTATTGGGTTGAGAGCAGGACTCTATGCAGATCAGTGTTTGGCACCATGCTCTGTGCACTGATCAAGCAATGTTGGAACTGCTCCAACAAGATGTCCAAACCATCTTTCAATGGAAATAGGAAGCCACATTTTTAAACATTATACACTTGATACTTTTACTGAAATGTCTGTGCCTGTTAAATAAACTAAAGACTGTAAGCCCTCCTAAAAATAATTCCCTTTTGGTAACAGCCAGCCCAACTTGTCTATCAAATTGCCAGATGAAGTGTGAGAGAATGCGTGCTTCACCGCTGCAGTAATTTCTTTGCACTTATTGTGTGGGTAAATGCAGCTGCTTGCCAAAGGAGATCTAATGTCATGAACAATGTATAGATTGCTTCTTCAGCTAATCTGGAGACACTTGAAATTGAAAGGATTTTATGAGTGACACGGCATGAAGTTGGTGACCTATGAGCCTAATGACCATCAGCTTCCACTTAAAGGATGAGTTGCTGTCCTTCCCAATTACTTCATTTTTTTTTAAATACCACTGACTGTTAAATGTGGAATATTAAGGGCAGATATCCAAACTCAACTTTGTTGCTAAGGTGACATCCAATCACATTACCAAAGTGGTTGAGAAAAGCTCTGGTAAGAACATCTGCTCTTAAATATTCTATAGTTTAGATGTTCCATTCAATACAATATGACGAAGCAAAAACCTATTGTCAACGATTATGGTCTTATTGGCTTTCCTTTGCATTTTAAATGATTATGTATAAAATAAAGTATCTTGTTTGAAGTTATAGCACTGCTGCCTCAAAGTAAAAATGTCTTCCAGTTAAGTTTTTTTAATCTAACTTCTGTTTTAAAAGGTAAAAACAAAAAACAAGGAACACATTCTTTCAAATCCAGTTTTAGTTTAATTTTGTTAGAAAAAAAAAATCTCTTCACATTAGTACATACACATTGCACAAAGGCAAGGAGCCTCTTATCGTCTTGTTTGTTTCCACGACTAAATCCTTTCGTTTTACCAGAAGTAAAAGCAGCAGCCAAAACTGACCCAAACAACCAGCACTGGTTTTCACAAACCTTTCCAAGACCCATTAGGGCCAAGTTGAACAACCTGCACTAAAACCCAGCAGACAGAAGGCAAAGCATCCTGACAGGAAAACACACCCAAACACGTTGGATTACAGCTCCGTCATCATTTTTCACTAACTTTTCAAACTGTTCCAATTCTATCTGTTCATGGATTATGAAAACATTTGAACATAAATGTAATAACTGGCATAAATACACAGAGAACACCTAAGTTACAATGCTTTAATACTCAACACATAGATATAAAATAAGTAAAACTATCAACTCAGCTCTTTCAAACTTTTGGTTCAATGCATCTTCTGTCTGCGTTGGGATTTCGTACAAAGTGCAGAGTTGCGCTTGGAGAAACCAGGCTCTGAACATTTAGAACCACTTTAGCAACAGACAGATTGCTGGTGTTATAATGCGTCATATTAATTTTCTTATATCCACAAATCTCTGTACAATCAAATACATAAAGGTGATCATCTTTGTCCCGCCAGTCAAGCATTCAAAAGGACAGTTTAAAGGCAGGATATGCTTAAGCAACAGCATGTGAACAGATTAGAAACCTCTCAGAAACATGACAGGAAAAACATCGAATCAGGCGAGTAAAGACAATAAAAGGACGATCAATTGGTCCAACCTAATTCAAAGATCCTATTTCCCCACCTTAATAATCAAAAAGCTAATCTCACCCCTCTGTTATCTCAAAGATCCAGCTTTATCACGACTTAAACACTCAAAAATAATCTAATCCTTATAACATGGATCCAAATGAACATGAACAAAATCCTGTTACAAGCATTAACAGAAACTCAATCAGGTCTCACTAAGGATTTGACAGGAAGGACACACTAACTGGGTTGCATATAAAAAGTATTTACATGCAAGTCAACTCTTATTATCTTAAGAAGAGACAGAGCAAAGATGAGTTAGTTACTGCATAGGTTTTCAGTTAGAGTTCATCATTACTGAACATTTGCAGTTCAGCTATGGTACCAATAAATGGTCCCAGCAGAATATGGACCCTAAGCTTTGCAATGTCCAAAGAAGGAACCTTCAACACACCCATGCATCACTACAGGTACATCCAAAATACTAAAAGCATCACAGCTTCCCAACATCTTTTAGACGGACTTGGGACCAATTTGGATTGGTGAAAAAAAATCTAATGAAACAAATCAGTAGAGGCTGGAAGTAAAAATGGCATTTGTCATACAGGGTCCATTTCAGAAACTTGCAAAAACAAAAGTTGCAATGTGACATCAAGGCCAAGGCTGAGAACTAAAAATAAAAAAAGCACAAAATGAACCATTCATGTTGATCCTCTGTTCAGGAAAACAGAGATGTGTTCAAATTACTGCAGATCACAGGATGTTTGGAACTTTTTTTTACCCCAACCATTTAGGTTTTCAAAACAATCACACAGGTTCTGTTTCGCCAACCAAAAAAAAAAAAAAAAACATAATAAACCACAAAAAACATGTTTTTAAATCATAGAAATCAAACAATTTGTACAAAAAAGATCAAAGCTCACACCTTATATGATGTTCCCATTGTTTTTCTGTAATGCACAATTGTTGTTTTTTTCAATGCTTTTTTCAGATTCAAAGAAAACTTCAGAGGAACACATTTCTACAAATACATATCTGCAGAAAACATTTCCATATTTTTCAGATGGAGAATATTGTTTTTTTGTTAAAGTGTTCCTAAACAGCCTTTTTTTGTGTTAAAGATAAGGATTTAGTGAAAAACCTAAGATTAGTTTTCCCCTTCGCCATTCATTTCCTGCATGTCTGATGCGTCTCCTCCAAGTAACCTTATTCTATACCAGTAAACAAACAATCACATTAAGCTTTTTCATTGAATTACTTATATAATTTATGTTGATAAAAGAAATTTTGCTTTACATCACATTTCCATCTATTTTGGAATGAAGTACAGGACAAAGTATTCCTTAATTATTTGTAAGGGGCTCATAAGACTATAACAAATTATGCTTGACCATCGGTTGATGATTTAGGTACATGAGACACCACTGTCAGTTATGAACTAAAGCATGGCTGGTTTGTAATCTCCTGTAAAAAAAAAAATAAAATTACTAAAAACTTGAAAGGTCTGCAATGGCGAAGGGGAAAAATGACCAGCATCCTTCCAATTATTAAAAGCTGAATATAATCCGTAACACATAAAAACTAACAGAACACAAGCACTTTTAAACCCCTTTAAAAGCTTGAAAATGAAAGAAGTCGAAGGGCACAGAACGGCAAAACCAGGCTAACACACAGGAAAGGCAACAGATCTGGGTTTTCAGGTAAACAACAAAAAAAAGGTGGCACAGACCCCAGCTTCAGCTAAAAACAAAATGGTACCCGATGGACTGAGGAGTCTGTCATCATCCAAACATGAGTTGGAACAAGGCGAACAAAGGAAAAATAAAATAAAAAGTTTGCTGCGTCATCACAGCAGGATAGAGCACATTGATGGTTCAGCGTCAGGTGATGGCAAACACACCTCATCAAAGTCCTGCGCAAATATTGATGGGTTTTCACAGCAGTCTCTCCATTAACACTTGCACATGTGAAGGCGCTTAAGAGTTTCTAATGCAACAGGCTGTCAGTGAAGTCTATTTCCCTTTCTCATATTGTAAGTTGTGGATTGAGTTACTGCGGATATAAGCAGAGTATGTGGGGAAAACAAGGGAACAACATAGCAGCAAACATGTTATTTAGTTGGGTGGGGGTCAAAGTGTAGTCCAAGTCTGTGTTAGATAACAGCAATCACTCTTTTGTGTCGATACACAGACTACCTGCTAGGCTAACAAGAGAGAACACAATCAGGGGATTATTAGTGAAGCATGGGGTATGAAAACAGTGAGGAAAAAAGGCAATGATACAAAAAAATCTAATTCTGGGTGGAAAGTATGTAAACTTTTTTTTTTTTTTCATAAATTCAAAGTCATGAAACCAGTTTTACAGTGCAGCGTCTTAATCAGCACAAAGAGATGAAAGGTTGTAAAGGTCCAAGATTAAACAGTGATGTGTGCTAGCAGCCCGTCTATGACATCACAGGACAAATTCATTAAATATACGGTAATGGGCTATTTTAGGAGCGATGGGATTACTGATGGTTTTGTAAATGAAGATCTTTACAGCATAACTGGAATGACAGGATGACAGTTATGTGCCAACATGGAGCAGTTATTAGTAAAAACCCTATAGATTTTTAAAGTCTAAAATAATTTTATAAGATGTCAGAGACAGCTGCCTGTATGAAGCTCAGAGCAACACATAAGAGTAAAGTAGTTGCTGTGCACTGCTGGCCAGCTGACAGAGGCTTTGAAGCTTTCACCTCTATTTGGAAAATATTTCCGGTTGCAAAAGCAGACAGCTCAACTAATAACCCAGCTAATATCAGATCCTAACATTTGCAGCGCTATGTAAAGAGCACAAGGGCGAAATTTGATAATATGAGCAAATGGCACATAATACAGCTAAATTTAACAGGGTTTTACTTACAAATGTGCTTCATTAAATAACATCAATACATGTTTTCAACATTACAATTGGAATAATCAAGAGTGGAATGGCCAATTCCTGATAAAATACCTGTACCTGAAAATAACCGAGTCTGAAAGGATAAAATTCATCTGATTAATTAGAAATTTCCTTGCATTACTTGTTTCTTCCTTAGCCAGTGAAGTGCAAGTATATCTTGCATAATGGGGGGCTTTAATTAGAAAGCATCAGGATCTGCATCGTTTCTATTTTTTTTTAATGTTCAACAAAAGCTTAAGTGATGAATTTGTAATGAGGACATCCCTCTGCACAAAAAAAACATCAGAGTACCGCACTCAGATCTACTGGAAAACAAGGCTTTGGTCCCGTCATAAAGGACTGAACACATGAGGCTGGGGATGCATGCTTGGCAATACGGCAGAGTTGGTGTTAGTTTACAAGTAAGGAGACACAGAGAGGACAAAAACAAAACAAAACGTAAAGGCAGTGTGCAGAGGAGCAACACAGATGTAAGAACAGCTTATCTGCTTCCCATTTGACAAGGAGGTTGCAGATGAATCTCTACAGGGTTTGGCTTCAGTGCACTCCTTCAAAGACAGTAGAATGGTGCATGACTCTTTGAGCAACATCAGGTTAGCAAACTTACTTCCCAGAGTTGCATGTGGTAAAAAAAAAACTGAAAGGTTTTCCGGGTGAAGAATGACGTCTTTTATGTGCAGACATCCTCTTCTGAACACAAGCTGCAAAAATAGTCACCTTTTTTTAATGCAGGATGTAATGCTACAGTAGCTGTACACACAAACGCAACGCCCCCACCCCAACCCTCCCAGTAAAACCCTAGATTACTAAAATACTTTGTTTCTGCAGTTCCTGATGGCAGGAACAAACAGTAAACCATAAATTAAAGATCACAATATTAAAACTCTATGATAGAGGGAAATCTGGGAACGATTGTTAGAGGCCATTTTTATTTACAAGAGTTAAATTATTAAAATGGCTTTTCTCAGAATCTGAGTCTCTCTTAGTGTTCCTTTAGAGGTCTCCGATTAGGACCTTTCAGTAGTGTCATGTGCTAATGACGTCACAGCATTTAGAGTCGAGGACATTGTGGTGTTCACGAGAGAGGCTGACATAGATTTTTCTCCAGAAGCGGCAGCTTTGGCGGCAGAACTTCCTTCACAGGTCCTCCGATGTCTTCAGCAGCTCCATCAGTGCTCCAACTGCTCCAAAATAACCCTGAAACCAAACAATGGATGCATTAGGACACTTCTCGTACAAGCTTTAAGCAAAAAAGGCTGTTTCAGCAAGATGAAACGTAAAGCTGCAGATATGTGGAATCTAAATGTAGACTGAGAATTAAATTCAATTGAGAAATACTTTATTGATGGTAAAGGGAAATTAAATAAAATGTACAATTTTAGGATTTTAAAAACTTTTCTGGAAGAGCAACTACTAAGTAACAATGTTTAATAAAAGATTTAATATGAGAAAATATTGAAATTATGTATAAAATACTGCTGCCTTTTTTCAAAGGAGAATGCATTTATTTATAAGGGATATATATGTTCGTAATTACTACATACCTGTCCACTAGTCAGTTTTATAAATTTCTTTTCTTATATGTAGATTTAAATTTTTTTCTTAATAGAAATTATTCATGCTGGAAACCTTGGATTTAAATATATCATGTTTTTATTAAAAAGGTTGTTTTTTGGTTAAAAATTTTTACAATAAAATTAGTTTCTAATCAAAAATAAATCTGTTAAATAAATTAGAACAGGTACTGCCATGTCAAGAAGGATTTCTACTGTATTAAACCCCAAAGTTAGGGAGATACTTTGGAAGGCCTCCTTTCCATTCCCCTAATCTGTAGCTCCCTGAACAGATTCTACATCTGATTGAAGAAGAAACTGTGGCAGACTCTTTCTAAAAACGGCATATTATTTATATTTATATTTATATCAAATCATATCACTTGCTGTTGGACCATATATGTCTGTCCAATTTAAATGTCAGTTAAACTTAAACTTGGCAGGAGTATGAATCATTTTGGGCTTAATTGCATCTTTCCAATCTGGCACCAAAAACTGGCCCTAATAGAGCAATGCGTATCTATGAAGGGAGATAGAGCAGATATAACAGTTGCTACTTAGATATTTTAAGATATTGATTATCAAAAGGGGTTTAAATTATTTTAGACAAGACATGTCATATTTAATTGAAATAAATTATTTTTTTGCCAAAAGTCATACCTTTCTAACATAGACAACATATGACAGATGGGTATCTTGCAATATCATCATCATATTGAAAGATACCCATCTGACAGATAACATGATCAACATTTAAAGAATATTTTAAATCCCGACCTGGGATTTTTTTCCCCAATTTGCTTAGTTTAGAAGGATTTTTCTCACAAACATTCACATAAATAAATAAAAAAAAAATAAACTAGAGCTAAATTATGCACACATTCTATTAGACTGAATCTGCAGACTTAGAAAGTGGGATACATTTTCTGCTGATCCATGTTCTATGAACTATGGCCCCCTCTCTTAGGACTGACCACCAAATTTAACTAAAAAAAAATAACCTTCAGTTATTTGCAAATCTAAGCCGAATGTAGATCTTCAAGCATTAGAACGTGTGTCTTTCTTCACGTCCACAGTGAGGTATCTTTGTGAAGGGGCTAAACCAAATGAGGTAGTAAAGACAATGTCTTGTTCTTTTTTAGTTGTTGACATTTTTTGTAATAAAGTCAGGGCTTATGGTGCTGTGAACAATGGAACATTGCTTGGTTAAATCCTATTTTACCCAATGTGAGACTTATAGCACTGAGAGCTTCTGAAGTATTGCTTTGATTAATAAGTTTATCAAAAGTCATTTTCACTGAAACTGAAAAGTAAAATGGCTCCAAGAAACCCCTATAATAACTGATTTAAAGCCTCTTCATACCAGTCATGCGTTATTCTCTAAATAAACAATATCAAATATTTACTAATCCAGTCTCAGATGTAACACACATTAATGCTTATAGTTAGATTCACTATAAATGAAACCCATTTATTAAAAAAATTAATAAAAATTAAAGTAATCTCATTTTTGTTGGGTGGTACTGACCTCGTGCTCCAGGAAGAGGGCTCTCAGCTGACCTTTGGACCAGAAGTCCATAGCATAGGCTAGCAGCTTTGTGGATAATGTGTTGATCCGAAGGAAGTTCCCAACAAACACCACTCGCTCAATTTTCTGAAACAAAGATAAACATGGAGAAAAATCTAATAGCAGAAATAAGTCAATGCAGTTACATCCCGAAATTAAGAGCTATATGAACAGAAGATAAAAGATCTCTTAACACTGAATAACAAAAAAGGACAATCCTTTTTTCCTGCTTGTCAAAAAATTTTCAGAAACCTGCAGTAGCTCTTTTATCCACATGGTGGTGCTGAAGAGCTGATGTGAACCTCCAAGTCTGCCTGATTCACATAATCCTAAATCTATTGAAATGATTTTAAATATTGTTTTCATTTTGCAGCAGGTCTGCATGCAATGATAGCCCTGTACAATGCTGCTTGATCGCCATGCCACAAGGCAACACTGTAAAGAAGCTCACAGCATGCAGAAGGACTCCTAAATGAGCTCCTACTCCAAAGAAACGTCTGCAGAGCATGTGCCCTTATAAGCCACCTTCACTGAAATATTACAGCAGGGGTGTCAAACTCATTATATATCGGCCCAATTCAACATAATCAGGTCTTTAAAAGGGACTGTTGAGTCAAATTAAATAAAACCTGTAATTTCACCATTTGATTTATACAGAACACAATGGTAAAACAACTTTATTTCCAACTATTTCGCAGTTTTAGATACTTTGTGCACTTCTTTTTAATGACATTATATGCCTGTTTTACATCAAGGGCCAGATAAACTGCTTTTAACCAGCAAAACCCAATAACTCTTTTAATATAAGCTTTAAACTTTTCTTTTTTTTTCTTTTTTGCAGCTACTTCGTTAAGAATGTAAAAATATTCTCCCAACTACAGATTTCCATGCATGATTAAAATCTTGTGAGGTGTTGAACTGATTGTAGTCTTGGAAACAAATTTTAGCAGAGGCTGTAAGCTCAATGAATGTAATATCTTTATTAAACTTTAAAAAATAATATTGTTAATATGATGAGTAAGGTTCGCCAGAACATTATTAAAAACATTCAACGCAGCACTTTAGTCAGACCAGCCAAAAACTTAATAGAGGGAATAAAGTATATTTTATTTTATTAACTGATCACCCTAAAAATAAATAAAAAACATAAAAATCATGTGCAGCGTCGCATCTTAAACAGAGCTGGGAAAATGGTCAGATATTAAGAAGCGATCCATGATTTTCAAAAAAGATAACTTGCTTTGTTTTTTTTTTAAACAAGATTGTGGTGAGCAGTTTGAAACAGAGGTTCCAGGAATCGTCACCTGCTAACGACCAGATGTGCTGCAAGTTGTTAAAATGACACTGAAATCAGGCCTTTGTGCTGAATTTCAATGAGCCCAAGGATCAGTTTCTGAAGAGTTTCTGAACGCATGTACTGTCTTTTCTGCACATATTGGTGAGAAACATGTCTGTTGGAGGACGTGGAGTTAGTGCTATGACAGTTATGGTGTAGGTACCAGGTCTGCTCAGGTGGTCAGATCTGCTCGAGTCATACGCATGCCACTTACGTTGCGCTATATGAATGGCTGAATGTTGCCACATGATGCTAAACATTGTTGGTTGTCCAGACCAAAAATGTTAACATAATGCAGCGGCCTCCATTTGGCGAGTCGGGATCATCTGTAGTGTTAGTGTGTCTAGTGACCGACAAAGTTTTACCTAAATGATAACAAGGATGAAAAATCTTTTTAAAGGACCATGATATAAAGGAGGAGAGCTGGGTGGTGCTGTGGCTAAGTGCGCTCAGTATCTAACACATTAGCATATTTTAGCTCAGTCAGTTAGCCACATTAAGCTACATGACTTTTAACTTTGTGTCAACAACAACTGTTTGTTTTCTACAAGTAGAATAAGCATTTTCTTGGTCCAAAATCTCTATGAAAGTAATTTTTAAGATTTTCCATTTGTCCTTCCCTGCCTTCACATCTTAATAAAAAGAATAAGAAGCACTGAGACTTTTTGTGTCTCCTTGTTAAATGGCAGAGGTCAGCGTGACCAAGGAGGCAGTGCTACCCTTTAAGAGAGAAGGATTTTTTTTTCTTTTGGCTGCTTTAGATCGCAGTTAAAATTTCAAATAATATCAAATATAGGTAATAATATGTTGGGACTCCAGAAAAGATTTAATTCTAAGAAACGGGTGCAATACAGTTTGTCCGATGTCCATATGATGACGCTATAAGAAGGGGCAGGGCTCCAAGCAGATCTGGTACCTACACCGGGAATGAACGCTTGTTTAGGTGTCCTCTACCCCACACATATCATACTTTGATGAAGACTCACTCAGAGTTGTGCGCTCGAACCCAGGAGCAAATACGCTCTAAGAGCAGACAGAGAGAACAACCTCTGAAGGCAGGGGTGGAGTGGCCATAAGAGGGGGGTCTATCAGGCTGGTCACATTCATTTTACTTATACCCCATAAAACATTTCTGCGCAGGTCCATAGTGTGAAATGTTATTTAAAGAGTTTGTCCCGAGAGATCTCTTTTCAGGGAAAAGAACCGCAGAGATAGAGCATCAGGGTGCATACACAGAGCCTATCTTTAACAATAGCCATCCCCAATAGTTTTAAAAACGTGGAAGCAGGATTTTCTGTAATTTAATTAAGAGGAGACTTGCATGGTTGTGTATGTATACCTCATTGAGAGCACACATGCGCGCTATGGATCCTATGTTATTGGTGATGGTGATCAGTGTGGCTCTGGCCAGGTCTTCCTTACTGATGCTGTCTCGCTTCTCTTTGCACATCATGTGACCAAAACTGTAAAACAAGAGGAATTAAACCAAATTTGAGCATAAATACAACAATATATAAAAAAAAAAAAACAGGGATAGGATAACTTTCCTACTAGTTGTTAGTCAAAACTTGAATTGCATAATTCTACAAGTGCAGCTTATCACCAAGTGTTTTGCTTCAATAAATGACAGAAAGGAACATCTTAACAGCACACACTGGTGATAGTATGATAGCATGATAAAGCCTGCTTTCTTTGCTTTATAGATTAACCTTTGTACTGAATTAAAAGTTTACGAATCATACACAGGACCCAGGATAAACTGTTGTGTTTATGAGATGGTTTCCAGATATTATTTAACACAGTGTAATCTGATGTTTGGATAATCCATGCAGTCCAATTGGAGTCATTCCTATTGTCATTCTGTGTTTTGAGTAACCTGAAGTTCAACAGGTTAATAGTCTAGCGGACCTAATCAGGGTAATGATACAGATTAAATCACTAAATCAAACATCTAAGAGGAGAAAAAAAAAATAAGTTTAATGAGATTTTAAACATAAAAATCTACTAGGAGACATGGTTTTGGGTTTAGTTAAAGTTGGATAAATGTTAAAGGCTTATCTTTAAGATATAATCTTGTATATAATTTTTATGCTAAATTTAAATTAACAGCAAAACTGGGACTGGTAACGAAAAGCTTGATCAATGAATCTCTTCACAGCTGTTTAACACATGACATAACCCATTTTCTTTAGGTTAAGTCATTTAACACAAGAGAACCATTAGAATCACAGGAATGTGAAAATATGTAGGCCACTGCGTCAACGCAGAAACAGCTAACTTTTCTGCATCGACTGGAACCTGAAAGATCAGTTTGTGTGAATTCATGTTAGCAAAGGAGCTGCTCAGCAGCTGCTCAGCAGCTTTGAAATCATCTGTGACGACAACATTAGGCCAACCTGGAGGCGACGGCAGAGCCCTGGAGGCCGAAGCGTTCGTAGTCTCCACCATAGATGTCTTTCACCAGTTTGTCCACGTTTGTGGAGTCACCCTTGCTGGCCATTTCTAACGCCTCCTCGAACGTCTCGCAGCCCGTCAGAAGACAGCAAAGGCCGAGGAATGTTCCACCTCCCAGACTGAAAATGAAAGGGAGGAGAATTTGTTACATTTATATAATAAAAGAATGGGGGGAAAAAATATAAGTCAGTTCAAGAAGGCAGAAAAGATTATTAGAAGGCAAATAGAAAGTAAAGGGAGAAGTACATGGATCAATAAAATGAAAAAAAGAAAATATTAGAGATATGCAGCATAACTTCTTTTGTTTTCTGCTCTACATTTCTTCTGATGTTGTGCTTTGATCTAATCACTGTTAATGCTGTAGCCAAAACAATTCCCTGGGTGACGGCTCTACAAGGCAGTAGTGTGCAGATTACTTAAAGGGTTTTTATAATAGATCCCTGATCCAGAAACACAAAAGTGCTTGCAAATAACTTGAACCCAAAACTAGTCCATCAGCTGAAGGTCTTTACCCCAAATAGGTTGGTTTAAGGAGTTTAAGGTAATGCAGAGATGCTGCTTTTTTTTTTTATTGTCCTTATTCTGATGGTGCAAAACACAAACAATATACCATGCAGGCATCGGTATGAATGCCTGTCCATTTCAGTCATTTAGAGTATCAAGATAAAGTGAATCTGGTCAGGAAACTTAATCGCAAAAAAAGAAAATCATACCAAGGGTTCATCAGACGCAATGACATTTCTTTCACTTTTATTTGAGGATCTGAACCACTAAGATAAGCTTCAGGATTTGTGCCAAACACTTGTTTAAGGCTCCGTTTGTATGGATTGCAGAGTTCCATGGACGGAGTCATTGTCTCTATTGGCATCTCTTATCTTCCTCTCAAAGAAACTCTATATATTTTCTGCAGGGTTTATGTCAGTCTGTTAGCAAGCCAAGCATGGTGATACCATAGCTACTGAAGCAGGTATTGTGGCTTCTGGCAGTGTGGGAAAGGTGCAAGTCCTGCTGATAAATCAAATCCGCCTTTTCATGAAAAGCATCAATAGAGGTGCTCTAAACATTTGAAAGATAAATTTTTTTCACTTTGAACTTAATAAAACCTAGAAGAAATAGCTCCCCAAATAATTGTTGGCTTTGAAAACACCCCACTGGACCTCAGGATTGTCCCTCTCTGCTCTTCCTCTAAACTCATGGACCTTGATTTCCAAATGAAATGTAAAAATTACACAAGCTTAAGACAATGAGCATGACTGTCCCAGCCAGTGTCCCGCATGCCTCTGTGTGCAGTGTCCAAACTCCAGCTGCAGTCCACGCTTTGACCCTCCCTCAAACCCTTTAATGGCCTTTGCCTCCCTTTCCCCTTAAGGGTTTGGTAATCTCTGTTGCATTTGCAGCTCTTGCACCATACTTTTTCATTAAACTCAACTCTGCACTCTGAACAGCCGGCTTCTTTACGAATGAACCTTTTATGGCTTACCATCCTTGAAGGATGTCAAACACAGCCAGAAAACTGCCAGCTCAGTTTATTCCCATGCAAGTCATAAAATAGCAGTAAACATGTCCGTGTCAGAAATCATAGGTCTTATGTAACATTCCAGCTTTCGTGAAATTAAATTGTTTAGCAGCTGCATGCCATACCAGAAACAAACTTGAAATAAATGACTATATTTTTTAATGAATAAGTAAAATTAATTTTATTTTTTAATGGAATTACTGATTTTAATTAGTTTTTTTTCTGCCATTTTGTACTATTTATTGAATAAAGATGCCCCTGCTTAACTGTTATCATAATTACCCTACGGAGGAATTGACAAACAATCAGTGATGTATGTAGAGACGACACAGAAACACACATTTCTCTTCTGAACTCTGTGGTTTTGATCTCATCAGCTAAACAACACCACAGCTTATGTGGAGGTTGGATCAACGCTAATGTTATTTCTGACATTGCATCTGCATGTTATGGTTGACGCTCCCTCTCTCTCAGACTTTGACATTTGAATCCAGTTTGGTATCAAGTACATGGAAGTTGAGGACTGTGTTATTTGGAATTTAAAAGCTGACATATCTGGTTAATCTACTATGAAAACAGACATCAGCCTCTATCAACACTTGTACACACCCAGTAAGCAAATCAAATACTTCAAATACTTTAGTTTGGAGTAACAAATGACTAACAACAGTGAGTGGTTTCTTTAATGTTTTCATTGCTATACCATAAAGTATCAACAGCTATATCCTAGTTTAAAAGTTTAATTTATTTAAATAGCATTTGTTTTTTTTCTAGATGCATATAATATTCTTCTTTTGATAAGGCAAAAGAGAATTGTTTGTCTATGTACTGTTTCAATGCGTTACAATGAAGTCTTAGGTAACCTGAGCTGATGGAAGGTTCCAATCACAATAGAATCAAAAAAAGCAGAAAAACTGGTCTCCGTTTAAAGTGCCTGGCATTCTTGGAAATTTCCTGTGAGAGTCGAGGCCTAAACATGATCTGCAAGGACAAAGAAATCTTCTTCTCTCCCTGGGATGCCAGAACTAAATGAACAATCTGTTCTTGAATCCCTGCTTTGGGAACTTTTTTGACAGCTTGTTCTTCTGGGCGGAGATTTGAGGCCTTCCTAGGTGTTCTGGACTTGGGTTTTTGTGATGTACCAAATGTCCCGGCCAGAAAGAACTGTGTCCTTGCAGCCTGTTTTGAAAGATTGTTATTTTTTATAATTATTTTGTTGCAGAGAGAACATGCTGGCCTAAATTGACATTACTTCAACACTGTTGTTTTTCCTGTAGATTTTCTATTAAAATAATGACCTTTTGTGTCATTATTACTAAAATGTTGAAAAAACATTTTGCAAAATATATTTCCAGACTACAACTGTTTAATTTTCAGTAGCAGATGCTGTGATATACACCTACAATCGCCTGGTGCTCATCAAGCCAGCTCTCCTCACCTTGTCCCTGTTACCCGTTTGTAGTCGTTCTCCGAGTAGACGGCCAGTATAGAGACCCCGGAGCCGATGTTGACCAGCAGCATTGGAAAGGGGTTGTCGAGGTTGCAGGGCTTTTTCACACAGTTGTGAGGGTCTGACGGGTTCTGGAAGTAGTAGCACTCCGGGTGTCCATTGAAACCCACTCGGTCGATAAACAGTAGACCACGGATGAGACAGTCCAGCTCATCCAGCTTCAGCAGCTCCAGGTCTGAAATCTGCGATAAACACAGAGGTGGGTTAGCATTTCCTGAACAAACAGTTTTAGTCAGTGTGAAGACTATTTTAGGTAGGTTGCAGGACAGATTTCACATCACAAATCTTAACTTTGCACAGACAATTTCCCAGATATCTTTTAAAAAAACTACTAGTTGTTTATTATTTGTTTTTTTCCCCCTAACATAAATGTGAAAGTTTGTGTGAATTTACGATAGAAATTGTCTAAATGTTGCAAGCTTTAAATATGGAACCGGCCAAAAGCAGGAAAGGTGGAACAAAAGAAAGAAATGAAAGGGAGAAAAATGGAACAGAAGGAAAAAAACAGGTAGGTAGAATGATAGAAAAATAAATTGATGCTTGGTGAAAAAAAAAAGAGTTGGTTAGTAGATCAAAGAGTTGGTTGGTAGATGGATGTTCAGGGACGGCTTTTAGAAGATGGACACTAAAGCTAAATTTGTCCATATTTACTAAACTTAAATCAAATTTACATAGAAATCTTTATCCTGAACAGAATAATTCAAAATTACAGAGGGAAAGATTTCTTATTGTATGGCACAGATTAAAAGGCATTTTAAATACACCTCTTTGCTCAGTACAAGCAGCAGAATTGAGCTTAACTGGCCAAGAAGAAAACAGATGGCAGATCCAAATATTCTCTGAGAAAATATGTTCTAATTAAAAAAATTATCTACATCTTCTGGGATGACACAGACCAAAAGTAAATGGATAGAAAATATGATAAAATAAATTTGATAAATTAGAAATATAGGTGAAGTCAACGTGGCCTTGTTAGGATCATCCAATAAGGCAGCAAATCAAATAAATTTGTTGAAAAGAAAAAAAAGGTTGATTCTTAAAACGCCACACTGACCGTTCTGAAGTCGTTCTCAAACTTGTACGCCCCGCCTCCCGTGGCACACAGCGTTGTGTGGAGGCTGGAGAAGTTTTTGTCTCTTCCCATCTGAATAAACCGGGGCATGGCCTGGGTAGGGAAGCGGATAAAGTGCAGGTTTCCTGTCCGGCCACACATGGTCAGGTTCCTCAGCTCCAGGTGGACGTCACGGACACCTGTTTTACCTGAGGGAAAAAAATAAATAAATCACCTTTTTATTCCCCAACAGAGGTTATGAGCTAACTTGCAAATTAAGTATTTTGGATTGTTTTTATAAAATTAAACAAATGACTCAGCTTTCTGGAGGATTTTCACAAAGTTATGAGCGTTAACTAGCTGAATGTTTGCATGAGCTTATATACCATAGGCCACATTTGAGGTGAGGTAGCGGCGGATAGATTTGAGGTTTTCAACTTCTTCTTGTTCTTCTTCTGCAGTGATGTCGACTGGCTCAAAATACACCAGCTTAACCAAGGTCCCTCCGATGTCCATACCAAACCAGGGGAAGGCTGGAGAGACGAAAATATGAAATTAAATTCCTTGTTTTTAAACAAAATATCTAATGCTAGATATCTAAATGGCAAACCAGCAAAGTTCAATAAAAAAAGAACTTTATAATTTGAGGAGTGTTACGATGAAGCGGAAAAGATTGCACCGTTTTACTGTAATTGGACTGAAACTACAAAACAAGTTATCTTACCAGGGGAAAAAAGCCTCTTCGATAAAACAAAAAACATCAATTGTCCATGCTATAAAGTATGAGCAGAATAACGGTTCTGTTCAGTTGATGCTAGTTAAACTACTGTTTATGCTCTAAAAACATTCTAAATGACTTCGTTTCGAGTAAATTCTGGATGTTACCCACTCAGGACACTTGGAATACATTGGACGAGCAGTATGGAGGAATATTGACACGTTTTTTGTGGACTTTTATGGACCTTTCTGCCTCGGGCACCATAGACCTCCATTATTTGAATGTCAGCAGACAGCAAGAAGCCTCCCAGATCTCCAGATGCATTTGAGATATCAAAAAAGTACTCCAGAGTGTTGTTCAGCATGGGGGGGAGTAGAAAATGAAGGCTAATCATGTTTTGGGTGTACTATTCCTTTAAAAGTAGCCATGTTCTATGGTGGCTCATTTAGGACGCTACAAGATGCAGCAAGATGTTTTGTTACCATATTATCTTTTCAAAGAGATTAAAGCTTGTCAGAGTAGGAAACGGTAGATTTTCAGAAATCTCAAAGTAAACCTAAGGGGCTGCTAACTTTACAAGGAACACACAGACTTCTGTTTGAAATGTCAATCACACAAACAACAGAATTACATTTAAAAAACAGATGAAACTATGCAATCAGGTTACCTTTGTCTTGAAATAAAGAAGGAAAGAGCTTTGTAACACCAATCGCTTTAAATCTCTGGCTCACTGTTTAGTTTTAATAAATAAATGTTTTAAAACTTGGTGTAGCTGTTTTTCATTAAATATTTTTTCTTTCCAACATTTTATGTGTGCAAAAAAAAAAAGCAAAAAAAAGTAGCTATCATTCTTGTTAGAAAAGAGTGAATAATATAGGTGGGGTCTAGCAAGTTTTCAACAATTACAATTAATAAGTCATAACATCTGATCTTTTCATCACTAAATGACCTTAGGTGTAAATTGGTCTAAAAGAAAAGCATGAATCAATGTCAGCCATTATTAGTGTAAACTGTATGTATGAAAAAAAAGGAAAAAAAAACACTAGTGTTGTCTTAGGCTGCGGCTGCAGGAAGCTGGTGCTAACAGCAGCTAGAGCGATTACACAATTTTCTTTTTGAGGTAAATTGAGTTGAAGATTGAGTGACGGGAAGACTATGCAATCTTTCACAAAGACAGACTGGTAAAGAAATAAATAAAATAAAGCACATCTCACCAAGAGGCAATGTTCCCATGGAAACAGGTACCCTCCCTTCCCCCACCGTCTCTCATACACTCTCCAGCCTTCCATTTTCTCTTCCACTTAGCTTCCCCTCACGACTTCTGCAGTTTATGCATACCATCCATCTTCCACTACACCCCCACCCCCTCCACTTGACTCTCACTATTAAAGTGAGGTACTGTTGGCACTTACACGGGAGGAAACCCAAAACTGCCGGACATAACTGAGACACTGAAGATGAAATCATCTTAAGCATCACTTTTATCTTCAATACTACTCATATCCACAGATTAAAAAAAAAGAAATATGATCCGACTATTAGAGGTTTAACCCTTATATCAATGCAAGTTCTTTCACAACTGCAGCTGAGAATTAGATAAAAAAAAATCTAATCAATAAATCATATATGATATTTTACCACTAATAAAAGACAACTTCCCAATTACAAGCTGGTAAATTTGAGAGGATCCTAGAAAAGTGCAGTTTGCAGTTTTTTCTGATCATTATGGAGCTTAAAGTATTACAGAGAAATCCTCCATAGTGCCGGTCAGCTGGCTATATGGAGACACCTAAATTTTTGCAAAACAGGGATATCATTTTGTTTAATAAGAAATCAAAAAATGTTAGTTACTTTAGCAGGGTTTATCTTTTAAATATGTAAATAAAAGAAACAAGCAATTTCTCAATAAAATGTGTTTCTGGCTGCATGTGGTCCACTATTTTTAGCACGCACCACCACTGACCCACCTCTGTTTGTACAGGCAGTTCAACAAATAGCAAAGTACTGGTTGACACAACTTTGGAAAGATAGTTTTATAACATTCGGTATGACACACTTGACTTAAGGTTACCACAGGCCAAATTAAAGAGAGTCTCCCGCTACTCTTTAAACTTTAAAATATTAATATTCTTTTCTACTAGTGCTGCACTGAGGTAAGTAAAGAGGGAATAAAAAGAGCTGAGTCTGACCTCTGATAAAACTAAAACAGTTTGAGCATTCCGAACTGGGGTTTTAAAACAACAAAATGCATGATTTCTTTTATTTTATTAAAAATATATCGTTGTGTAAAGAAGCATTTTCTAACAAAGGAATGTGAATAAGTCATTTATTTTCTGGATGATGATGAGGTGCGCGAGCTAACCAGAAAATCAAAACCAAGTTATTTAAATCCCTGAAAGAGAAGCAGCATGAAAACATATATTTAATAGAAAAACAAAAATTTAGAAACTTTCTTTAAAATAAATGCTGATCAAAACCTCTTTCCCCTCCTACAGGTGTCCTGAAGTGCACCAGGTGGACCATCTCTCCAAGAACTCTATTTAAGTTCATGCCATGTTGATTTTGCGCAGCCAAAGGTCTCTGTAAAAAGGAGTAGGGCTGGGGAGGAATTTGTATCTATGTGGGTGAAAGGCGTCCAGACACACACCTGCATGTCCACATGACTGCAGAAAGTTTACACATGCTAACAGGACAGCAACCTGTATTGCCATCATTTGTTAAACTTTAATTGTCCTGTTTAGATGATGTCCTGTTCTGGTTCCAAGGCTCTGATACGATAAGAACAAACGCCAAAGTGCTGCTGAAGATTACACTGATACAGCAGCACGAGTTGATAAAAAAAACTTTTCTCAACTTAACAAGAAGTTTTGTCCTCAAATAATAACATTTTCTCAAGTTTATCGCCTTTTCAGGTGTCATTTTACAACACTATGTATCGTTCTTATTTGGTAGTAGAACTATGAAAAATCTAAAGCATGGCTACATTTTGTTGTATCTTCTCCTAATGTGTGGCTCCACAGTTGAACATTCATTTGTACATTTAAATTATAAAAGGGCATATTTAAAAACCAACATTTGTTCATTAATTTACATAATAAGGTAATGTTCTATAGAAAAATCCAAATAGGTGTAATTATTTCCTTCTCACTAGCTCCCACCTTTTTATAGCTTGCGCACAAAAAACAAAATCATAAAAAAATCATAAAAAATGCCATTGGGTGTAAGACTGAAACAATCAGATTAATGGTGATTAATCAATTATTGAAATAATCATCAACTAATTTAGTCATAATTAATCATTAACTCTAGTATAGAGACGCTAAAACATGCTAACATGTTAGTTAACAGAGCAACCCACTTAGAGCAGTAATTATACTAAAATTGTAAAAAAAAAAAAATCATATACATATATATATATATATATATATATATATATATAAATAATTTTTTTTTTTACAATTTTAGTATTTAGTATTTAACATTTTGAATTTAAGATAAAAAATTTATTTCGTCTGTTGATATGCTTTATCCAGCCTCCTCTGGTGGAAAAGTAGTTTCAACTGGTTTGATTTAGTAAAAAGTTTTCTTTGGTTATCCGATATTTATTCGATTAATCGAAAAATAATCAATAGTTTAATCGATTTGCAAAAATAATTGTTAGTTGCTGCCCTAATTGGATGGTAAAATATTACAAATCCCACATAGTTGTGAGGTCTCATTCGAAATCTTACATCTACTAGTGTCTGGAGATATCTCTAAACATTTTTTACACAACTTCAGCTATTCAACATGTCCAAAATAATCATTTTTAACTTAAAAAATGCAATCTTTAATATTGTATATCTGGTGTATAATTCATAAATAAGCACCATCTATTCATCCTTCCCCTAAACTTCCAAAACTTCATTGAAAAGCTAATCTCATTGGTTAAAAGAATATGTAACGCAAATATATCCTTCCAGCTGCGTAAAGACTACAGTGGACTGGACGTTTTTGACGTCTTCTGGATACTGAGAAAGGAAGGATCTTTGGAGCAAACACATTGGTTAATAAGCCCACCTGACGTAGAAATCTAAAATGGCAGAAATATGTCTGTAGAAAAAGGAAAAATTAGCTTTTAAGAACTTTATTTTTACTCCTTCATGGGGAAAAACATGCTTTGGTCGATTATTAGGACATGTGTTTTTATTTTATGGGAAATAAAACTGGATATTTCTTTTCTGTGGAGTGTTATGGACAAAATTAGCCAATTTAAAACAGGATAGAGTGTGTTTTGAAATGCCAGAACACAAAAACAAAGTAAGAAATAAAAATGATAAATTCTAATTTAATGACAGATTATTAGTAACTGGTGTTAGTGGAGTATAGTTGGCTTATAATTAAGTTGATAATCATTTTCTTTTGGAACACCTGATTATAAAGAGTTACAACATGTTGGGTTTTGTTTACAAATAAATTTAGTGTTAAGATGCTCAACAAAATGTGAAGGTAAAGCGTCCCAAGGCCGGGTGGTGGGAGCTAAGACGTTAAAGTCTTTTATTATTAATAAACTGGCTTCTCCTGAGGATGGTTATTTCAAATAATTAAATTATAAAATAAACAATCAAAATGAATCATACTTTAATTCCAAAATATGTAAATGATAAACGTATTAGGGTACTTAAAATATATTTCAGCCGTAGCCAATAATATACAAATCACTCAATAATAGTTTATCCAGTTTGCATTTTAGTCTACAAACTTATCAGCTGGTAGAAAGGAGATGACATTTATTTCATTTTTACAGCGTGCTATGGGTGCACTGATCAATCCGGCACAGGTACCCAGACTAAGGCGCTCTGAGCTTCTCATTTGTATCTCACAACAGTATCTCATGAGCAGCTAAAAAATATTTGTAAAGTAAGTACTTATGTACCAAGATTTTCAACAACAACAAAAATGAAAAGATCTAAACATTGAGGAAATTGGGGAGATTGTTTGTTAAGAAAAGCAAAAATAAGAATCTGCCAGAAAACCTGCAATCTGTGCTGAAATATAGTTGGACAAAATTACATAAGAAATAACCTGAGAACAGGAGGATGAGTTTCACTCAGAAAAACCGGTTGGATGCAGATTGTGTTGCAAATATGTTTTTTTTTTTCTGGAAGTTGTCAAAGATTGAACATTTTCCTGACTTCTAATTTTAATAATCTCAAATCTGACCTAACATTACTACAATAAAAAAAGAGACTTGGTCTACAACTCCATTATAGACAGTAGAGGACCATTGAGTTATTTTTAACAACAAAAGTCGACTTCTGAACAAGCCCACCTCTGTTCACGGAGTTTCAATTGTGGCTCCTTTTTAATACCCATGAGCTTCTTATCTAACAAAAGGTGAACTGTATCATAGAACTCCTTTTTGTTTTCTAGAAGTCCTTCCAATCAAATGTGTCCTTACAGCCACACCCTAAAGAAACCACTGTTTCACTGGTACCAAAGCAACTTGTATTTCACCTATTTTATCTATCATATTATCATATTGCTGTAGTATTTTTAATAAAGTCACTGACCAAAAACATATTTTAAAAAAAATTTTCTGTTCACTCTTTCCTACATCATTGCTCCAGCTGATCAAAGTTTGTATTTGTAAATTCACACATGTCAAAAGACCCCACTGAAACCTTTCCATCAGACTTGGACTCTGGATTTTGGTCGGTCTGATGGCCTCAAATAAGAAACCTTATCATAAATCTCCTCCACTGCATACAGTGGATTTATGGTGCTTGTGTAGATATTCGGATTTTTCCAAAACATTTTTATCTTTTTTGTCAGTGAAAAACATTTCCCTCTTTTCTTATCCAAAGATAGTATGCTTGTTCTATGTTTCACTAATACTTACAAAAACAAAACTCAGGGCTGATAAGTATGACATGAAGTTTAAGTTTTCTCATCACATAATGATGGTTGCAAATCATTTTGGTAAGAGTTTAAAAAAAAAGGCGTCTGTAAAATGGTGCTGATAAAAAATGTTTTCTTAAGATCAATAATGATTATGACAAAGTATAAAAATAATTAATGATATTTAATATTACAGAACTTATATCTCGGATCAGGCAGTGTTCTTGTATTGTTATCTTACTTTATACCGCTATAAAATTAAATATTTTAAATTAAACATGCTGTTAAGTTCTAATGGAGTGAATAATCTCTTAAAATCCCAGTTAGATTCAGATTTGACATACCGGTACTAGAATACAAACGAGGAATACGTCAGAGTGGGTTACCCATTGTTTAAACCAACTAAAGCCGCTAAGAAAGAAACAAAAGTGAAAAAAATCCAATCCCAGAGGGAACCACATTCCGGGGTCAGCACTCTGTTTGGAAAAGCTTTCATCCGGGTATATCAGAATGACTGGACTCTCTCCGAAGATAAGTCAGCCATAAACAGAGAATCTCTACCGGACCTTTTAATGGTTACAGGGCAGATACATCTTTAACTACGTAATCAGACATAACCCATCTAGAAGGCTGCTCAGCCTCTGGCTCCTTTGCAACATGTTCTCCCTGCATTGCTTTGCAGAGGTCCACTTATTCCTCTATCTGTTATGATAAACATAATAAGTGCTTTAAAGGATGCTTCTATATTCATATTTCTTCCAAAGTTGTTATTAATATATTAGAAGTTACTGGAAGTTATGGTGAAAGAAATGCGCAGCTGTGGCTGCTAAAGAAACAAAAACAAAGAAAAATTGGAGGGAGGTGGGGTCAAAGTTATTACAACACTGGCTTATATAATTGTGTAATAAAGTAAGCACAACTAATGACTTGTGAATCAGACTTTCAGCTGGTTTTATGCTGCTGCTCCCATCATTAACTCATATTTACAATAAATGTAACTTATTCTGGTTTGTTTTATAATATATATCTGAACTAAGATTTCTAGCTTCTTTTATAGGTACCATAAACAGATCGATGTATATAAACAATGGTGAATTAAGTCTATAAACAGTTCTTTCAATATCAAATACATTTTTATTTTTTTTTATTTTGTGTATTTATCTTTTTAGACATGCAATGATTTATCCATAAACTCCAAACTGTCAGTTCACCTCTGGCTAACATTTGGTATAACAAATACTTAAAAATAAAAAAATAAATGTGTCAAAAATTAAAACTCCCATAATTTAGGTTCTGTTACTGCATCAATCAATGTAATATACTTTGATGGTATAGTCTTGTCGTGTCTGCATTTTCTGTTTTTTCATATAACATCAAAAAAAAAATAAAAAAATAAAATAAAAACTTTGATCGATGAAAGCTGTCATAAATGTATATCTTATTTTAACTTTCAGGATTTTTTTAATGTTACCATTACAAGAGCTTTGCTGCTGGTTGACAGTCACCCCCTCAAAAAGCCCTCAAATGTTACAATATAAGGCCAAAACAAACAAGTGACAAGCTACACCTAATCATCCTAAGGCTGAACTGTTTGCTCACTTTCTCCTACACTTCAATTTTATTTCAATTCAACTAAAATAGTTGTAACTTAGTAGAAATGTGGGAAAAAAACAATCCCTTAGGACAACTAATATTTGTAAGGTTATCTTTTACGTATGCTTGGTACTAGAAAATAAGAAATGACTTGTTGAAATTGGCTCTAAATACCCAAACATTTCTTTGAAACCATAATAATACCCAATGCATTTTCTTTCCACCCCCATCCCTGACCAAAACAATTACTAACAGATGTAAGGAATGCAGTATGGCTGACTAACAGACTGTTATCACAACACTATCCCTGTATCCCAGTATGCTAGTATCTCTGCTGATAAATCCACAAAGCAAGAATGAGTTTAACCATAGATACCCATGTTAAACCAAAAAACAGTCGCTAGAAATCTTGACCATAGTAGAATTAGCATTTTGCATGAAATGTGCAACACTCTTGAAACACAACTTCCCTAAAAAACCAATTATATATCGTTTTCTTATTACAATGAAGCAGAAACTAACTTACCGGGTTTCTTCTCAGTTATAAGCTTCATTGTTAGGCAAAATGTATGCCCCTGAAAGCAAACAAACGATTTTCGGGATACTTTTTATAAACACTGCCTATTAAAGGGGCGAATTAAAAACGCGACTCTCTGTACTGGGTGTTAATGAAGACTTCACACACCGAAGAAAACAACCGGTTTCGGCATTCTGGGCTAGACATGAACTTTCATAATACGATCATCACATCTTCCGAACCACTTGGTAAGGATAGGGGCGGTTCCCTCCTCATTCACCCTTCCTATTGTAGACAAGAGTCGAGCCCTGATTGGCTGAGACAAGCCAGGCCCAATTATCAGGAGCTGTTTCACCACCGGAAAGCGACCAATCACAGAGCTCCAAATGCAACCTGAGGGTTGATAAACAGTGAAAGAGGTCTCCCTGGTGACGGCTAGCTGCTGGACGGAGCTGTACAGTGTCAGAGCAAAGGGAGGTCCATAACATTGCTCAGTTAAAAAAACACAAAAAAACAAAAAAAACAAATGAAAGACACGACACATAAAGTAACGTAAGATATAAAAAAAACTAATGGTTACTCCCAATGATTAAAATACGGAATGAAGCCGGTTGCAGTGACACAATCGTGTCAGAGCAGAGACATTGTGAATGACAGTCAGTGACACAGACTCCATTTTCTGTCACTTACGAGGTCTGTTCCTTTTCACCGACTCCGTCCTCCTACGCAGCCGGGATCTCTTTGCTGGGGACCCGTTGCACTCTTTCTCCTCCCCCCGCTGCAGATGATGCATTTCAAGCGCATTGCTGCCGCTGCCGCTTGGTCCCGTTGTCAAACCGAATGCATTATTACCGGAGCAGCCGCCGTTAGCGGTTACCACCACGAGCCCATTCAACCCCCTCGGGCTTTGTCCATTGTTGACATGGAAAGGTCCCGCCGATCCCTTCTTGTCCACCAACGATTTAGCTTTATCCATGGCAAGCGTTAGTTTATCTTAGCATCTGCAGTAAACGGACGGGTTTAGCCTTAAGCTAGTGTAGCTTAGCTTGCTAACACTAGCCCCGTTTGATAGCAGCTGAGAATGCCGCGCGGGTAGCGAATGCCGTAGTTACGCTAAAATAAAAACATTTCCCCCCTCTTTTTTGTTGTAAAGCCGTTTTAGTTTAAATGGGCGCACTAGCTAAAACGTAACGTGTCCTTTGAGGTCACGCGCGGTCATTCCCCCTGCAGTAGCCTGTGTATTTGTGTACATATATAAGAATGAGTAGCTTGGCTGCTACGAAGCCCGAACCCGTCCACCTCCCTCGACCGGTTTTATCTTCTGTGGGGGAAAATGACAACACATACACTAATATACAGACGTTGATACAAAAGAATGGGCTAGTCCAACGTAGCGACTATTCTCCACCAGATTAAGAAAGCAAAGCACGCGCCTTCGGACAGCTGTTGGCTATTTATTTATAAGCTTCGCTCTCTACCTCATTCCCCGCAGGCGCGTGACGTGCTGCTCAACGCTGCCATGCAGTCTGAGAGCAACAGAAAAAAATGAACCGAAGTAACCCCGAATTATACCCCCCCAAAAATCCACAAACATGTAATTTTATGGATTACCCATGGAGGGGGTGCATTCTGTTAGACTGGATATCAACGGGAGCATTAGATAACCTGTCACCTCCAGTCGAGATACAAAGGTCAAACAACAATCTCAGCTTGATAGAAGAAAAAAAAATCACTTAAAAAAGATACGTCTGTGCCCGATTTAAAGTTTGAGATGTAACAGCTTCCTATTCATATGTTATATTAAAAATACAAATCTGAAAGGTGTGGCATGCCAATGTCTTAAACCCCATTTAGTGTGATACTCCTAAATACATTTTGGAAAACCAATTATTTTTATGCTGGTGAAGGTTCTCAGTCATCCAGGTCATAGTTATTCAAAATAATAATAATACAAAAAAATCTACTGGACTTGGATTCCAAGGTTAGAAGATGTTTCGCTTCCCATCCAGGAAGCTTTTTCAATTCAAAATGTCAGGAATAGCGTTGAGTTTGAGGTATTATACAGTAGCCCAACAATTTTTTGGGGGGGACCGAACCCCAGGAATGACAATTACTTTTAGTTCACTATTGAGTCAATCTGTCTTTAGATTGATCTCAACTATCTGAGATGATTACCTACTTTCTGGTAATCATCTCAGAAGCCTATGGACGTCCACAGCGCAATCGCAGAATAGTCACTATTGGAACCTTCATGGAGAGGTGGAAATTTGAAAGTTGTTGATATAAGTAGCTTAATATAGGGCATTTCTAGTGGTAAATATATTAGATACGGCAAGAAAAACTGGAAAAAAAAGCATAGTGGTTTAATTTGCAATAGTCAGGGAAAAACTTTTAAGAACTGGGAAAAACTTTTTAAAGAAATTTTATAGAAGCATTGCATGTATTTCTCCTGATATAAACTTAACAACGTACTTATAAATGTGTTAATTCGTATGTTAAAAATAGCAAATCTGATTTTTTTTTTTCAGTCATAAATATATACAAGCAGTAAAGTATTGCAACGCCTTTCTTTGCAGTCACCTAACACTAGCAAAAAAAGAAAAAAACTTTAAATCAAATTGAGGCATTCTTAATTAAATAAGCTTCATAGGTGTAAAATGAAATAATAAAAAAGACAGTGAACACTGAATACAGGAATCCACACACTGTTAAAAGAGTAACTCAGAGAAACGATAAAGGAGAAAACTGGGTAAACAAAATGCTGCCCTCTTCTGGTTAAAGAAGGATAGCGTTGCATCATGAAGGGGAAAAAAATGATCAGGAATTTTTATTATCTAACTGAACACAAGATGGGGTCAAACATCCACATTGGGTTAAAATGGTGTAATAATAATGTAATAATAACCCAGACAATAAGTTTACTTTCTTCTTCTGCACCTTAAGCTTTGCAAAGCGCAGCGTCTGCAGTCAGTATCTACTCAAAGCAGCCAAGTCTGCAGAGAAGAGTTTAAAAGTACAGATGCACCTCAACAAATGGCTTTAAAGTTTAATAACTCCATTCATTTTTGTGTAACACATTAGGCCTATATTATGAAAACATAATTGGATTTCTCTAAGCTGGTAATTCTATTAAATATGATAATTTCCACTTGAAGCTAATGTAAACATTTTAATCAGTGTTTAATCCCAAAGAAATGTAGACATACTGAAAAGTAGTTTTTATACCTGCATAAAATGTATTTTTAAAAGCTACACTTAATCCGACAAATAACCCTAATCGGAACCCATATTCCAATTAACTGAGATGTACCTAATAAATCACATTGGATTACAGATTTAGAACCTGTACATTAAAAACCATGCTCTGTTAAGTTATAATAGAAACATATAGTTTTTTTAAGTGATGATTTGGGATTTTACTCTGCAAGACACGACAAAAGCCAGTTTGATTGCATTCATAAGATTGTCAAAAAAGAGTGAATATTATTTATTTTTGTCATATATATATATATATATTTTTTTTTTTTTTTTCTCTGCCCCCAGAGAGGTTCTTAGTAAAGCAGGCTTCTCTTGAGAAATATTCAGCTTATGTTACACACAGCATGTTTAACATGTTTGTGAGGCCCGGAAGAGACAGGTGCAGCTGATGCTTTGGATCATTGACCATTTGCAGGCACCGCTCTCATTCTATTGGAATCATATTGTAATCCAGGATTCAAATAGAGAGTTAAAAAAACTCAACAAGTCAAAACATTTCTTGTTTGTCTTGAAATTCAGACTCTGGACAAACATATTATTGTAAAAAAGTCATCCTGGGGGGGGAAAAATAGATGCAAACACACTTAAAAAGCAAAAAAAAAAAAGTAACTTTATCATTTTAAACAGAAGGTAAACAAAGGTGTTGTTTGAATGAGTAAAAAGTTGGAGCCCCCCCCCCCACTCTGACAGCTAGTTCGACATTATCAGGTTAAAGTAACTCAATAGTCATCTTAAAAACAGCCATAGTTGCATAGGAAGTGTCCTATGTGACTAGGTTTAATGTTCATAGCTTTGATCCCCATGTAAGAAGAAGGCTAGGAACTACAATTTCATAAGCAAGGAAGATGAAAGGGAAAGGAAACTGAAAAGGAAGAAATCTCAATGATGAAGGCAAGTAACAAAAAGTCTACTTGTACTTCTGTCAGTTTTGATCTGGGGGGAATCATTTACACACAAACTTTTATACAACCTTTATTTGTGAACATGTTCTTCTAATGTACAGAAAGCAGAGACGCAGTCGGCCAGAAATGAACTAATACCACAGGGTTTCCAGCCTAGAACAACAACAAGGACTGATGAAGATTATCTCCCCCAAATTTAAGTTCTTACTTCTAATATTAAGGGACATATGATAAGAAGCCCCCTGCATGCATTTACTGTAGTCTCCTGTTTTATATGGGAAGAAGGAGGTTCTAGTTTTCTAAATAAAAAATCTGTCCATCATGATTTTGTATTGTAAATTACACCAATTTTTCCACTTAACGCACCAAAAATACCATTAGTTTTTGTATCACAATTTAAGAACAATTGTTCTAGAATATGCAGAAATTGCCTTAAATTGTTTAGATCTTGACTTTTCTGAACAGTTTAGGTTTGAGATCTTGATCTCTGAAAGTTTCTGGATATTTGTTCATCGTGCCAAAACAGTTTATAGCTGACAATGGAAGCACAAGTAACCTATGGAGTTCCTATATCTTAGAGGTTGACCTTAATGTTGACGATCACAGTAATTTTGACTGAACTGACTTTGGTGTAGAGGTAGAGATGGTGACCTGATAATTATTCTTTCAAAAACCTCCAGTAAAGCACTTGTAGTAGTTGTGTCAATAGTAAAATCCCTGCCTATCTCAGCATTATCTGCTCAGAGAATCGGCACACTGGGGTGAAGTCACATCTTTGATCCCACTTTATGATTCTACCAAGGAAGCTCGGCTCCGTCCCAGTTGTATGCCTTTCCTGTCTTTTCTATGCTTAGTGAATTAATGATGGCCATCAGACAGTTCACAGAGTGTTCAGCACTGAACAGCTTGTCATTTGGCACGTTCTTGTGATACGGCCGGGAAAGGTCCGTGTTGACTGTTCCTGGGTGTAAGGAAACACAAACCACCTGGAAACGGCGAAAAAAGGCGGGTTAGAATAAACTTATCCGTCAGAGGTAAACTGATACTACAGCAGTATCCTTAAAAGCTGCTCTCAAAATGTGAATTTTTAATCCTTTGCATGAAATTTCAATAATTACTGGTTGGGTTACTTGTGCATAAGCAGATAAAGGTGGAGGATGGTAAAGGCATGCAATATATGTTGGAAAGAAGCCTTCATATAAACCCTGAGAAGTGTTTTGTCTTGTCCTAATAGTAGGCAAATCAATCATCTATTTATTATCAAAGTGAAGTAAAAGGCTTAATTATGACTAAGAACTGTTACCTTAGGTCTACTGCGCCCCAGCTCTATGGATAAATTCCTTGTGGCCATGTTGAGAGCTGCTTTAGACATTCTGTAGCTGTACCAACCACCAAGTCCTAGAGAGAAAAGTGAGAGGGTTGAAGGAAGAAGAAGAAACATACTTGATATTTCCCACAATCTACATGTAAGGGCATAAAGTAAAAAATTTAAATAAAATACAAAACAAAAGGCTGTGAACCATGAATCATTAAAAAGATACCGTTGTCTCCAATGGATCCGACTTTGGCCGTGATGTTGACGATGATGCCGCTGTGCTGCTTCGCTTTCTCTGCAGGCTGCTGACCAAAAGCACCGCCGCCCTTCTGAAGGAGAGGGGTAAAATATTTGGCCATTATCAGGGGGCCCACTGTGTTGGTGGTCAAGGTGGTTATGATGCCCTGAGAAGGTAAAAAAGAAACATATTTGTAAAGGTATTTCTAAGAATAAATAAATGATTAGTACACAAGTAACAGTAAAAAGCTATAAATGGTTGTTTTAAACCCTTACCAAAGTGGCTAAGTCATCTTCCACTTTAGTCAAATAACAGCCAGAAAGTTGTATAATGGAATTTTATGGAATAAATCAACAAAATCAAGAAGGTTTCAGAATATTTTGCTTTAATACCTTAAAATAAAATTCCATGAAACAATTTGCTTGAGAAGTCCCCTATTAAATAATCCTAATCAGCCTATGGCTGTGCCGGTAACCCCTAACCCCTCAATCACTATATAGAAGACAGACTTTCTAGTGGACTCAGTTAACTGATAACCAGATCACCGCACAGTTCCTGTGCCATCTTTGTTCTCTCTTGCCTAAAAAACAGATCCCATGATGCATAGCGAGGAGAGCTCCTGCAAAGCATTCTGGGATATATCTGCTTGTCTGGTAACCATGGCTGTGAACTACTTTTCAAGGTGCATTGTGGGACATTTTTAGTCCACTACTTTTTCATCCACAAAACATTTGGACCCTCATAAAATGGTGTAACCACTATATAGTGCTCTATAGAGGTTAGGGCGTATGTTCGGACACACTTGGTGTGTTTTTTTTTTTTATCCCAGGCAGGTTAGTTACCAAGGAAGATAAACCAGGACAGGGTAAAGGCAGTTAGGGTTTATAAATGAATGAGTAACTCTAATTTAATGCTCTTTTAATGCTCTTAGAAATAATTTCAATGCCATAAACATAAATATAGTAATATTTGTCGAAATTTGCATTTTTCGATGCCATTCCGAACTTAGTCCCGCCCACAAGGTTTGAGGTCGGGAAGTTCGGTCTGGCTCTGCTCCATAGTAGCGCGAATATTAAAGCCCACTGTCAGGCGATCCAATCAAATTGTCAGGGCGGGCTTTATACGATGATGGACAGATGATCAACAGTAACGTAATCAACCACGTGACCAAAGCGCGCTTGGCTGACAACAATAATGGCTGCCGCCGGAGAGTTGAGGTGAGTAGATTCTGCTATTAGGTCTGTTCTAGGAGATATCGACAGCAAATTAATTTTAAAAGAGGAACAGAGAAACGCGATCAAGTCTCATCTTCTTATTATAGGCGTGCAACTGCACGCTTTGATTTTTGTGGACAACAACTATGCGTTGCTTAACATACGTCACGCACTCCGCTGCTCTTATTGGTTGTAGGTCTATCCAATTGAGTGCAGAGGCATTTTTTTTTCCTGGTTCGTTTGAAACACGCCCCATAATCACAGCTCTATGGAGCAGTATCAGACTCATATTCTGACTAGAATTGAGTCGGACTACGTCAGGCTACCTTTTCTCAGCCTCAAGCTTCTTTTCCGAGCATCCGGCTTTACGATCAACCGGGAGCAGTTCTGCACAAATATATTCCAATGTAATTTATCTGATGAATTTTAATGAAGCATTGTAAATGCCCCGATAATCACATTTAATGAATTCTAATGCCAATTAAGGCCTTATTTAAAAAAATTATAATTTCATAACTTTTGATAATTTTTAATGACCCGCAGAAACCCTGAAGTTGCAATATTTAAACACCTCAATCTATCTTAATAAAAGAAAAGGTTATAGGCCCTTAAAGACCTTTGGCTTCGCATACAAAACACTTTCCAAACACATTGTGATCAACTTTAAGCCCCTGTCAAGAAATGGGGAATTGAGTTATTCCATCAATACGATGCTGCATATCCACCAGAAAGGTCTCAAACCGTAAACATATATTTAAAGACACGTAACACAATAAAACTGTTTTTAAAACTGGCTGTTAACTATGTAGAGTACACAGCGGACACATGGAAGAATGTGTTCCAAATGAAAGTAAAGTGGAATTCATTTTTAAACATCCAAACATCTATGTGTTGCAGAAAACTAGCACTAAACATAGTGACGGAAGCGTCATGCTGTGGGACTGTATCTTCAGCAGGGCAAGGAAAACTGCTCCCAACTGATTGGCTGACTTGAACCAAAGGTCGTCCTGTTCTATAGATAAATGCAGGGCACACGTTTTAGATGATTGGTTATAAAATAAGTGGGGGAAAAAAACAAACAAACAGTATTTTATTTTCTATTTTAGAATAATACACTTATTAGCTTTAAAAACATTTTATTACAAAAAAGTTTGACTTTGAGATGAAAATTTAATTAATAGAATAGAAAATCCCTTTATTGTCCCAAAATGGGGAAATAGTGGTGTTATTTAATTAAGCTTAAATTATCATGTGGCATAAGTGCTGTCAACTCCACTGTTCAAATAGATATTGGGGTTGGCATAAACAGCAATACCCCATCTTACCAGATGTGTAGCCAGAACATTTTAATAAGGGTGGTCAGGCAATAAGCAATGTACACTGAGGGGTGGCCAAAAGTGAATGCCAGAACTTCAGGGTCGATCTACACTGTTCCAAAAGGAAAATCAACAAGCACAACATCCATATTCTCTAAATACAGACAAAATATACCTTCCTACAGCCTTTGCTAACAAATAGATACAAATATTTAAACTTTGAAGCCGTCATTCAGTTTTATTACCTACCTACTTTTATTCATAATCATTCCAGATACAATTAATATTTAGATGTTCTAATATCTACAATACATGGATTAGTTGTTATTAAAATATGTTATTTATCTCTGATTTCAGTGAAGGTTCCTAGATGACTTACAGAGACATCATTTTCTCCTCCAATATAAGACAAAATCTAGTCCTGAAAAGAGAAAGAATTCTGTATTGATCATATTTAATGTTAGTATATTAATGTGCTTAAATAACCACAGTGTTTTAGTTGTCAGGTAATTGTTTACAAATAGAAAAATTTAATGTTAAATTAGTTTAAATATTCCACTTGAGATTATTATTGCTGCCACTGTGTATTAGAGGGAAAGAATGGTAGGGTGGGCACCTCTGGGCCCCCATCTAGCTCCGCCCCTGCATCTGGCACCAGATATTCAGAAAGCTGAGTTGATTCTCTCTGCTAAACCTTATGACACCACATCAATAGAAAAACTCAGCCTACCTGCGCAGAAACATCCCTCAGACTAGTTTCTCCTTTCCCGCTAGGATGAAGCATCGCCGCGGCGTTCACCAGCAGATCCACGCGGCCGAAGTTCTCCTTCACGCGCTCGGCTGCTCCGCGGACGTCCTCCTCCCGGTTCACGTCCAGCTTGAGGATCGTGACTCTGCTTCGGTGTTGTTCGGCGAGGCCCCGCAGCTCTGCCGCTCCATCTGGGTTTCGACACGTTGCTATGACCGAGGCGAGGCTTTTATTCTTTAATACATGTTTGCAAAATTCAAGCCCCAAACCTCTGCTGGCACCTTGAATTAGAGCTACGGGGGAAGCCATGGCATGAGAAACACCTGCTCACGTGACCGAACTAGTAGTGTTGTTGCATTCAAAGTCACTGCACGGCTCGTTTTTTAACCATTATTAGTCTAAACGAAGCTTAGTGGGATTAAATATCCCTTACAGATTAGCCACTTTTAACCAACAGGTGAATAATTATTAAATATATCATAATTAGCATCGTTTGTATTTTCAAACTTTATGGAAAATGAATTATTTTAGAGGAATAAAAAAAAAACATGCTGTACCTGAAGGTAACACGTTTCACAACAAGAACAATACGCCCTCTGCTGGTGACTTTTAAAAGCACTTACACAATTCATTGCGCGTGCTCGTTATGAATTATACAAAAGCAGAAAAACAGAAACAAGGAGGGGAAAACAGGAATACAGAGGATGATAAGTATATGAATTAAACGTGATTTATATAAGAATATAAACGTAACTTTGTGCTTTTATTTATCTGTATTTAATTAAGTAATCCCAGAACCTATGTATCAGAAACTGCATAGACATCTCTGAAAATGACTTAGACAAGTTTTATTGTCATTTTGTATGCACAGAGTGTATGCAAGACGAAATTTCGTTTAGTACAGCTTTTCAGACAGTAAATGAACATTCACAATCCACAAAGTGCAGCATTGATCAAATGTAAGCAGTGTGGGAGAAAAAAACATGGTGCAAGGTGCATTGATATGGAAGTTCAGAGCATTAAAATATATGGTATATATGCAGGGGCGGAGCTAGATGGGGGCCAGGTGTGGTCATGGCCACCCTTAGCCAATCATTGGCCACCCCTGTGGCCATCCCTACCATTTTTTCCCTCCAGTGGAATATTCAAAACATAATAATAATAATAATAATAATAATAATAAT